AATGCGTTTGCTCTTCACACATGACCCTCTTAAATTATACTGATAATATCATTTTTATAGGAAATGGTTTCTTCTACACTCAGAGGAAATGTTTGTTCCCAAGATGTAGTGTAGACATTTTCACACAAGTGCAGAATATACAAACATTTGGACACATCTTATAAAGCAGATATAATGTATGTTTTTCACAGATGTAAAGGCTTCTTGATCTAAAGGTCTATGCTTAAAGCGGACTTCAACCAATTCTGTACATAATTGTCTTTCAGAGTGGTTTGATGGTTCATTGTAGAGAACAGTGGTAGTGATAGGAACCAGGGTTCTTAATGTCTCAACACATTTTATTTACTATCCAAAACCACCAGTGAATCTTCACAATCTAAGTGTCTATACATATATATGTGTCTGTATGTTGACGATGGTAAAATAATGATAAATACAAAAAAATTGTACCTCTCTGCTATGAATGTATTTTAAAAAATATCCTTCAGGCCAAAACCTTCTCTCAAAACTATTGCACAACAATGTCTTAGGCATCTTGCTGCATATTTATAAGCACTTCATGCAGACCCTGAGGGCCTCCTAGGACTTCAGAGAAGGCCTGATTATTTCTGTGAAATAAAAAAAAAAATATGTCTAATTTTTTTGCTCATTTTTTATTCGTTAGAATCATCATGTTTGTTGTATTAAAGTTTTGCAAGTATTGTAGTAATACTCTTATTTTAATGTTACATTTTGGTTGGAAGCAAAACGGGATAAAATTCCAAGAAAAAAATCTAAAAATCTTCTAATGGAAATTATCCAATCAGGTTCTTTTTCTCTGTGGTAGATACAGTCAAGCAAGCTCTCCCATTGGTAAACTATAGCAGCCAAGAAGCGTTCATGTAAATCACATTTAGCTTAGCGCCAACATGCATTTAGAATGTCATAGGGGCGCTAGCTGAAATTAGCATTGTTGAGAAGGTGTTTCTTCCCTTTTTTTACATTTATGGCCTGAACCAAAGGCCTAGCACTGATATGAAGATTTCATGTAATAACTTTCTGTGAGGTAGCTTTTACAGTCATTAAACGTTTCAGAAGTCTGGTTCCATTCATCACCACTGTGGACAATTCAGGCTTGGCGAGTTTCTCTAGGATGATGCATTTTACATCAAACCACTCTGAGTAACTTTGTTCACATCTTAAAGATTTAATTGTACAGACATTTTGAGGAATCATTGGAATCAACAACAGTGTAGAACAACAGGGAAGTTCTAGTCACTGAGAATTTATTCATGTATATCCAGAACAACAATTCAGCAATGCCCTCAAGTAGTTTTCAGCAGCCAGCAAGATTTCAACATCTTCAACCTTGTTGGAAAATCATCTCAAGTGGCTCCTCATGAAGCTGCTTGAGAGAATGCCAAGAGTTTGTAAAGTTGCATGAGGGCAAAGTGAGCAATCGAAAATAAAAGATAGTTTTGATTTAACACTTTTTGGCCACTGTATGTGTTATTCAATAGCTTTGAAGTGTTCTGTTTTATTCTAAAGTGATAAGAATAAGGAAAGCACTTCTATAGGTAGGTGTCCAAACCTTTAGGCTGGTGCTGTATGCTATTGCTTGGTGGTTGCCCACAAGGTAAGTCATACTGTACATCAGGATGAAGACAGATATCTGTGCATGCTTACAGCTGGATCAAAATCACCATTGAGCAGCTGTCTAATCACACTCAGTGTGAACCTGTGTGATGAAAAACTTGTGCTATGTATGGTCTTCTGAATTTCACACCACGTGACCTAAAGATCTATCTGCCTCCGGAACAGTGTGTAGTCGTGGTCTTATCTAGCAGTGGAGAATGAGCTTTTTACTGACTCATTCAGTGCTAACAGATCATCCAGCATTACTCTGTTAGCCTGGTGTTTCTTGGACCCTCCCTTCTCTGCAGCAAACCCCTAAAGCTGATAGACATCAGCAGGTGCTGATCCGGGTCATAGAACCAGTGTAACAAGTTTTTTTTTCCACCTGACTGACTCTGTATACTCACGACGCTCAATCCAGTGGGCTCACCGTGTTTACAAGTGCTCTAGTGGATAACCAGGTCAGCACCTATTAGTGTTGTGCACTGGGGCTTTTATCTAAGCGAAGAAAGTGACTTTTCATCCTGACAGCCAGTGGCGCACAGGCAATTTAGCCTGTCTCTGTGAACGTGCGTTCATAGCTACACTGCCTATCACACTCTGCTTTCTTTTGCCGTCTGAATTTTTCGAGCTGTTATTTTGTAATTAACAAAAAAAACATGCAGGAGTTTTTCTGAGCTTTTGGTTCATTAAGGCATCTTTCTTTTCTGAGTAGGTTTTGCCTAAATGATCATTTCTCTTCCAAAAAATGATGAAAGCAGCAGAAGTGGTTTAACCCTATCAAACATAATGCTGTGTTTACATATTGGTTTTGAAAGAAACATCATTCCGTGACTCATAGCGGTATGCAACCGAGGCATGAAGCCAAGCAAACATCTTCATGATGACAGCGTCACCGGCGACAGTGGATGATTATCACAGGAGAACTTTAGTGTGGATTGTTTATTTAAGGTGGAAAGAGACAGGATGATGCTCTGTACACTGTCAGAAAAAAGGTACTGTGCAGGTTTATCAAGGTACAAACAGTGTAAATGCGCTTTCAAAAGTACAACAGTGGTTGTAAGGTTGAACTGTGTAACTTAATACGTTTTTCCCAGAGGAAAGGTGTTTTTATAACCTAATGTTTTAAAACAGAACAATACTTTACTATGCACTGCCACTTGTTTATACACCCATGCATATGTCACAGCTACTAATGTATGTTACTGTTCACAGTGTATAGTCACTCTTCCACTGGACGTGACGTGCACCACTGCATTGTCACCTGCGTAATATTTATTCACGTAGTGCATATCTATTCGTCCATCCATCCATCCATCTATCTATCTATCTATCTACACCGATCAGGCATAACATTATGACCACCTCCTTGTTTCTACGCTCATTGTCCATTTTATCAGCTCCACTTTCTATATAGGTTCACTTTGTAGTTCTACAGTTACAGACTGTAGTCCATCTGTTTCTCTGCATGCTTTTACCCTGTTCTTCAGTGGTCAGGACCCCCATGGACCCTCGCAGAGCAGGTACTATTTGGGTGGTGGATCATTCTCAGCACTGCAGTAACACTGGTGTGGTGGTAGTGTGTTAGTGTGTGTTGTGCTGGTACAAGTGGATCAGACACAACAGTGCTGCTGGAGTTTTTAAACACTGTGTCCACTCACTGTCCACTCTATTAGACACTCCTACCTTGTCAGTCCACCTTCTAGATGTAAAGTCAGAGACAGTAGCTCATCTGCTGCTGCACAGTTTGTGTCGGTCATCCTCTCGTCCTTCATCAGTGGTCACAGGACGCTGCCCACAGGACTCTGTTGGCTGGATATTTTTGGTTGGTGGACTCTTTTCAGTCCAGCAGTGACACTGAGGTGTTTAAAAACTCCAGCAGCACTGTTGTGTCTGATCCACTCAGACCAGCGCAACACACACTAACACATCACTAACACACATCTATCCGTCCATCCATCTAATTAAAATGAAAGCCTGGAGTTAAGATGGGGTGTGTGGAGTCAGAACAGCTTTAAAAGTATGATTGCAGAGGATTTTGGTACAATTATACTCCCTGACAAAAGGTACTGAGATGTACCCTTGAGGGTACCACCCCAGTGACAAGAGGGGTCCTGCCCCAGTGAGAGTTTGGTACCTTTTTTCTGAGAGCGTGCTCTTATTTTTGTTGTATAATGCTGAATTTGTCTGGACATCAACAACAAGACATTTGGCATCCATGGCTCCCAAAAAAAAAAAAAAAACACAACATCCGATTTATTTCACCACTGCTGTTGAATTGAAATCGAATTATTGACAGTGTTCTGCTCACTGCTGCGGTCTGCAGAACAGTGCAGATGGTGGTAGCAGAAATTGTGAGCGTGTGCACACAATCAGAACACATTATATTGATTTATTTAATCAAAGTAACACTAAAAGGAAACTGAAGTGTGAAATGTATTCCACACAAACAAGATAAAAATGTAAAAATGTTCATCTTTGTTAGAGCATGCTCTTTACATGCAACAAAAAATGCAACAACAGCACTGAGACATCATCTTATTAACGGAGAAAAGTTGATTAAACAGTCAAAATAACCACGTTTTGTGTTGATCTTAAAGGCTTGAGCATCTGGATGGGAGTGCAAATGTTGTAACATAGCAAGGGGATAAAACATACATGGGATTTGTTGTGATAGCACGGTCACTAAGGCAGTTATTTATATGTGTGATATTGTTTTCCTCTAAATAAAGCTGCTCTTTAATATGTTAAAGTCCTACATTTTTCTTACATTTTCTTTTTAACCCCTGAGCCCGTAAACATTAGTGTGGTTTCATGTAATTCATTTTTACTGCATCATTTTCCAACCTCTCTTTATCCTTTAGAATTAAACAGGCTCTTTTTGTGTCTGTGCCTTTAAGACTGATATATGTATATGAGCTCTGTCCTGATTGGCTGCCTTGTATTGTGCCTCATTCAAAAAGCAGTCTGGGCTGAAACTTCAGTGTGAATGGATGGGGCTAAACTGCTATAGGCTGAGTAGGTGGATGCATGTAAATGTGTTGTTTTTTTGTGACATCACAGAATCAGTGAATTCAAAAGAGTCTGTTTTCCAGCCTAGTTTCCATATATGTACTGTGTGGATTGGGGAGCGACCAGTACAAATGAAATTTAGTCAAGTTCTGTTTTCCGTGATTTGGGCACAAACCGACAAAGAAAACATGCTCATTTAGTAGAACGTTTTGGAAAGCTGAGTGTTCCTGAACATTTAACTGGCACTCTAAGTCAAGTGCTACTATTAATGTTTTGTCAGTAAACATACAGGTAAAGTAGTACAAACTCAAAGTTGCCTCATAATTACTTATCGTTCTCTCTTTATTTCTCTCTTTCTGTCTGCTGGAATGCAGTTATGTGCAAACGGACTGGTTTTTCTGTGCACTAACATCATTGGGATCTGCACACACTACCCAGCTGAGGTGTCTCAGAGACAGGCCTTCAAAGAGACCAGAGGATACATACAGGCCAGAATACACCTGCAGAGAGAGAACCAGCAGCAGGTACACCACACACAGGACACGGAGCCGTACAGATCATATATATGTGTACATGTATGTACAAGTACATATATGTAATAGTAATACAAGACTGTGTTAAAATCAGAGACCACCCTTCATTTATTTAATTTTAAGTCAAAATATCCATTAGAGTTATTAGCATAAAAGTACAAGTTATTTATTTTATTTATATATTTCGGAGGAGATTAGATCCTCTTGCATAAGGAAGAGGAAAGTCAGAGAAAGTAAGTGTAAAAAAGTAAAAGTTTTATCCAAAATGAGAAAATGGGACTCCTAACAACCATGCAAGACCTGGTAGACCACCAAAACTGTCCCCATCGGATAATCAAACTTCACTCTTGCTTCAGCTCTGAAACAATATACAGTCATCCTTCCACTGTAAGAAGACAACAACACTATGAGTCCCAAAGGATGTGTAGCTGTCAAGAAGCTCTTACTGAGGAAAGAAAAAATGCAGATCAAACAAAGAAGCTGCTGGTGTTCTCAGAACAATGGACTGACCACCCCAGGGTCCAGACCTCAACATCACTGAACGTGTTTTATTTTGCTTGGATGTTGAGAAGCAGTGCAGCCAACTTCTAAGACTGAACTTTGGAGGTGTGGAAAAATATCCCTGCAGATTTCTTTGAAAAACTGAAAGCAAGTCCCCTGATAAGAATGAAAGCTGTATTAAATGCAATTTTGAATATAATATTTTAGTTGTTGAGGCTTCTGTGCAATTTTGTGTTAAAAATGTGTTCTGCTTTTTTCTGACGCTGACAAATGAATAACTCAATTTTGACTGAAAATGAATTGGTGTTCTCTGACTTTTACACTTTTGTTTTATATGTATTATTTATATGTAAGTATCAATATGTTCTAATCCTAATCCTAACCTCAGTAAACAAAATAAATATTTTACCCTCTTACCCTCTACCCTTTTAACAAGGAATTGTATCATAAACCTTTTGGTCAAAAACACTGTGTGTTGTTTCTCTGTGCTCCTACACTGCATACAGCTGAAGGTTTAAAGGCCAAGTGCTGAGTCTTAGTAATCAGTGACTTTGTCATCACTTTCTCTCTGTATTTTTGGAGAGGAATTCAAGCAAAATTGAAAAGCAGTCACTACAGTGGAAAATCGTGAAATACAGTGCACACATGACATTACTGTTCCATAATGACATGCAGAATATGTGCCAGAATGAAAAACAAACCCTAGTACACTGGTTTTATGTCGCTTGACCTCTTTTTTGTACTTCAAATGTATCTGCCTCATTGAAATGCAACCAAAACAGTGAAATGCATTGCACACTTGAGATTGTATTTGAACAGTAACATGCGGAAAACGTGCCAAAATGAGAAGTAAAGGACCCATTACATTGATAGCGTTGTTTGAAGCACTGCACAGTGGAAAGCAGCATAGCTGTGCTTTTATTACTGTTTCAGTGTGGATTGTATTCAGTTGTGACATGAATTCAGCATTTCCTTTTTAGACTCTTCATGCATTGTTTTTCACTAAGGAGGTCAAGCAGCATGAAAACAGTGTAACACAGGGATTGTTTTTCATTTTGGCACATATTCTTCATGTCACTATGGAATAGTTGTGTCATGTGTGCATTGCATTTCACATTTTTCCACTGTAGTAATTGCTTTCCAATTTGGCACAAATTCCTCTCCATGATTTTCTAACGCAAACGAATACAGTCCTTAGCAGGAGCTCATAGAGTATGAAAACAATTCAAACTCCTGGACTCTCACCCAACTGCTCCCATATGCATCAGCACATGCTCACTAAGGATCCCTCTGTAACTCTTTCCAGGAACGCCTGCTGCTTTCAGTGTTGCCAAGGCATGTTGCCATGGAGATGAAGGCAGATATCAATGCCAAGAAGGAAGATATGATGTTCCACAAGATCTACATCCAGAAACACGACAATGTCAGGTAAATAAAATAATCCCAGAGCAGGAAACAGCTGTGGAAAAGTAACATTAATATCATTACATCTGAACACAAAGCAACAGTGTGGGGTTATTCAGTCTGTTGGCACGGTCAAGGTGAGCAGGGCTATAGGTGGAAACATGTTGGCTCATAAACACCAATTCCATCCACTTCACAGAAGTAAACTACTGCTGTATTCCTCACAAATCACCAATGGAAACGGGTTCTCATATACCCAGTTGAGTTGTTTGAAATACATCTGGTTTGTATGTTAGCACTGAGTCAGTTATGTTGTAAATCGAGTGATTTGAGGCTTTGTACCTCAGACAAAAATGCTAGTTGTATCCAGATGGCATAACCCAAGTGATGAAATCATCCGAAGATGGAAACTAGTTGGACAGTGACTTTAACCCTAACGTCTCTCCAGCGATACATTCAGATTGTTTGTCTCCTTTAATTAAAATCAGTCCACAGAGTAGCTGGTGAACATTCATGTGGAAATGGACCATCTTTTGGAATTGGAAGTGTTTATATGCTACTGTGTTTCCTATTACTGTATAAAAGAAGTTTCATGCTGCCTTTTTTGTTGGATGCAATGCAGCACTTTCAGAACAGACACTTTGCATTTGTCAATATATCTCGGGGTCGGCAAGATGTGGCTTCGGTGTTGCGTGCAGCTCTTTTACTGCCCTGTTGCGGCTCCACAGTGGCTCCATATTTAGGTAAAAACAAAATAATCCTCCTTTGCAGTAAAATAAAGATCTGCTGATCGTTCAAACACAGTTTTAACAGTAAATGGTCTTAAACGCTGGAGTTAATGTACAACTGCTAATTCACCCTTTAACCCTGAAGATTGGCGCACAGACTGCTGGTCACCATAGCAATGGAGACAACAGTCTTGCCTAGCTAGTATCTAACGAAAAGGTAAAGTGAAAGATTTAAGACGAACATCAATAATTTAGAGACGAATGGACTTTGCATTTATAATAACTCCAGCTTGTTTAATCTGCAACGAGAAACTGTCAAACACTAAAAAGTCACAAAACTGAAGCCAGATTCTCATTCGCCAGCTTCTTTTTCAAATTTTCCCGTTCCACCTTAAATGGTGCAGCAGTTACATTCTGGTGCCTCAGACACCATTTAAGGTGGAACAGGAAAGTTCAAAAAAGAAGATGCAAGAAAAGCAGCTATAGCTGAGCTAAAGCTTAAAGCAGAGCAAAGTAAGTCTGTGTTTTCATTTATATTTCCAGCCTATACTAGTGCATCAGCACATACTGAGACAAATTTACAGCCACAATGGTAAAAGGGACGAATGTTGTGGCTCCCAAAGGACAAAATGGCTCTTTTTAACATTTGGGTTGCCGACCCCTGATCTATCTCTACACTAGAAAACTGAGCATCTTGTTGGTGATACCGCAGCATTTGGCCTCTATATAGAATTCACATTTGCTGCCTGAAGTGCATGCATGTTGATGTCAGTCATAATAAAATAAATCAGTGTGTAGAATCTGTTTTCAGTCTGATTTTCTATCACTGTGTAAAAGATGCACGAGGCTTCCTTTATTGCTTAGTGCACTGATTTTCGAGCAAATGTGCAAACTTATTCAGTGTAAATCAGATCTGTAAATGTTGGTTTAAACGGAGTAATGATAAAATATACAACTGATGTGTGAGATATATTCCTAACTCAACTCACAGAAGAGCAGATTAAACGGCAGCTTTAAAGGGTTAACAGACTTTGGATTGGCTGCTGTTCTCAGTGTATATTTGAGAGTCCTATTTTTTAGTATATTTTCTGTTCCTCTGTGTTTCTTCTCTCTCTCCGTACTTTGTCTTCTCATGTTAACTTGTCAGTTAAGCGACTGATGTTCTGTGCCCAGTAAAACAGCAGTGTGAGTTTGTGCTACAAGCCTCAAGAACAGACATCCAGCAGTAGTTTGGGAGTGAAGAGAGAGCCCATATTATCCGCTCCAACTCGAAGCATCTGTGTCACATTTGCTCAGGAAGAGTCGAATGCGTAAAATTGGCCAGTTTTACTCCGAGGGCAGAGACGCTTCTCGCCAAATGTTTTAAAGTTTCCCAGCGGCAGGCTGCAGGAAGGGAACAGTGCCATCTGTTGCCCCTCAGCACGCCGTGCTCTCATTGGCTTCATTCTGTCACCTTTAAATTGTTGTTGATGAGCACCTCCAGGCCCGGTGGATATGAGGTCTTTAAAGAGGCCGGCCAGTTCCTGTTCCTGATTGAGGAATGGAGCGCTTCATTGAGAATGACCCGTCTCCAATCTGTACCACAACCGAAATGATGATTTTCCAACTAGGCCCTTCACACCAACCACCATGACCCAGACGAGGGACTTGCGCAATTATTGATCCACTTTGTCCCTCTGTCTGTCTTTTGTCCTTGCCTTTTTCATGTTTTATTTCCCTTTTTTTGCAGCATCCTCTTCGCAGACATCGAAGGCTTCACGAGTTTGGCATCGCAATGCACTGCCCAGGAGCTGGTGATGACGCTTAATGAACTTTTTGCTCGTTTCGACAAATTAGCCTGGGTAAGCAAACGCCATCAAATCCTAATTAAGCCCACAAGTCTGAGCTGAGCTCCTAATGCTGCCATATTTTCGTCCTGTGGGTTTTACTCCATTAAATCCATCTTTTATTACAAATTTATGATTCATCATCCAAGTCTGAACATTTTCCTTGATGCGGTATTGATAGTTGTTTTGGCCCCAGTGCTCGAAATACAATATGCTCGCCCAGTGTTTTCATTTCAAGGGATCACTTGAAAAGAATGATCTAATTTCTTATTGAAGTTGTGTAAAAAGAGGCTTAATAAACCATTTTTGCAGGAACTTCTGCTTTGTATTATAACTCGCTCAGCTGTTGCTAATATGTGCTAAATTTTTAGTATGTGAAGCTCAGAGCTGGTCACATCGTCCTTTACTGCCTTTATCTGTGGGTGCATAGCCTTTGTTGAAAATAAACAAACAGGTTTGTACGTGTTGTGCATATCTGAGAAGCAACACGGTACTACAGGATACTGGAAAGGCTGCTATGGAGACAGTTACAGCTACTGTGGGTTGGTTAGGAACATGAGTATCTACTGCAGATCAGAAATACATCTTTAAAAATGTAGTTATCATCACTTCCAATGCAAGAGCCCACACCTCAGTAACTTTCTCTAGAAACTGCTATGTTAGTTTCATAGCAGTTAATGAATCTTAGGATTTACTTTTCAGACTGATAACTGAACAATGAACCTGCACTTTAAGGGGTTAATAGCTGTTCTCTTCAAGACTTATAATGATGTTCGGTGGGTTTTTTTTTAATTTTTGCATAATTTAATGGTTGAGATGTTAAGTGATTCAGAGTGGTTTGATGATGTAGAAAAACAGATTTCTTTATAGTGGTGGTGATAGGAACCAGGGGGTCGCAATGTCTGCAACACAGACATATTCATATTATTAGCTATCCAAAACCAACAGTGAACCTTCACGTCTTTTGAGTTTTTACATATAATATCAATATAAAATTAGTGGTAAGGCTGAAGGAATGTTTTTAGGGAGTTAAGTTTAAGGCCAAAATCCTCCGTCAAAACTGTTGTAAAACAACATCTCAGGCATCAGGCAGCATATTCTTAATCATTAACTCTAAGTTTCTCTAGAACAAAACATTTCACACCAAACCACTCTGAATGACTTGGTTTACATTTTAACCATTTAATTATGCAGAAATTTTGAAAAGTTGGTGCAATTCCCCTTTAAAGGTTCTCATTTGTGCTTGTGTATGTGTATATGTTGTTAGGAGAACCACTGTCTGAGGATAAAGATTCTGGGGGACTGTTACTACTGTGTGTCAGGCTTGCCTGAGCCCAGAGCTGACCATGCTCACTGCTGTGTGGAGATGGGAGTGGACATGATTGAGGCCATCTCGTGAGTCTGCTGCTTTTCGTTTATTTAATTTATTTATTTAAAAAAAACTGGAGTACTCAAATATGATGGAAGTTATTATATTCACAGTCCAACCTTAAAAAAGTAGTTCTTTAAAGGTTTAAAGGCGGGGGTGACAAAGAAACATCTGAATGATTCAGTGGCCACTAGGAAACCTGCATAAAGGGGTTAATGAACCTTTTATAAATGATACAGCACCAAGAAAGGGTTCCACTATTGTTGTGAGACAAAGAACTATTTTTTAGCACTTAAGCAGTGATTCTCAAACCAGTCCTCAAAGAGCCCCCGATAGTCCAGATTATTGCTCCAATCTTACTCACAACACACAGGAATAGAGCAAAAATGTGGACTGTCTGGGGGTCCCTGAGGACTGGTTTGAGAACCACTGCCATATAAAACCCTTCTTGCTAAGAGTGTATTTGAATATATTGGGATTATATTGGAATAAAGTTTTTGTGTGGTGAAAAAATGAGCACACACTCATTTTGATTTTACTGAAATCATATAATCATAATCAGTTCTAATATTCTAAATTCAGTGTAGTTGAATTTCCACCTTCAGATCAATACATCATGACATCGCTAATAATATGCTCTTATTTCCCTTCCTATAAATGAATGATTTATGTGTGTGTGTGTGTGTGTGTGTGTGTAGCTTGGTGAGAGAGGTGACAGGCGTGAATGTGAATATGCGGGTGGGCATCCACAGCGGGCGTGTGCACTGCGGGGTGCTGGGATTGCGTAAATGGCAGTTTGATGTGTGGTCCAATGACGTCACATTGGCCAACCAGATGGAGGCTGGAGGCAAGGCAGGGTGAGCCTAAACACCGTCCACCCAGAACAGACCCACTGACACCTTACAGCGCTCTATTGGATTGTTCTGAACAGAGTGACACTTGCAGACAACATTATATTGCAGAAATAATAATACTTAATTTAACTTGACTGCCGCTTAAACTGTTTTTAATATGTAGAGTAATTTGGGGGAAGAAGCTCTCAAGGTAAGATGTCCTCCCGCTTAAGTCCTGATGAAGTGATAGAGCCAAATCTGATCTCAGCACTGTTCATCGGATCATCTGGCCTGCATTCCTGGGATTTGCCTCCCCAGAAACTTTTTGGGATCAGCTGATCTATGCATTTAAATTAAGTTGTACAAGAAAACTAGTTGAAATATATGGTTGTGATTGTGTAAAGCTTAGTACATTTGAGTTTGAGAGGAAAACTTAACTTGAAAATGTGATCTTTGGGGTGAGGCCTTTGGAGGAAGACGTCCTGCCAGACGGGGTGCAAAAGCCCCCTTTCATTCTTTTCCTCAGACACAATATTTTGTTAGATTTTCAGCAGACAGAGCAAGTTTTTCCCTGACTTCTCACTGACTAGGTAGCATTCGCGTTACATGCTACCTACTGCAATTGTTAGCTTGAATTAACCTGCAGTTTAAAGTGGACGGAACTGAGTTTTTCAGTTCTGTCCACTTTTTATCTGTTTAATGTCTAATAGTCATTTACACTGTACAATTAAACATTGAAGGGTGTTGCTTTGTTAAATTGTCACTGTTGTTGTTGCAATAAAAATAATAATTATTATATATTTTTATTATATTAAAAAATAATAGTAAAATTAATTAACATAATAAGTAATTCTTATAATCACAATAATGAGATAATACATTTAAAAAAATGCACATTGTGTGTTTCAGATGTTCATTAGAAATATTATTTAGTTAAAGTTTGACCATAAAAACAGTGAATTACTCAGATGAAGTGGACTCATTAAGACAAATTGATGAGGCCTAAATTTATGAAAGGTCCCAAGTTCTAAGAACTGCCAGATTTACCATGGGGCTTCATACCCCAGGCCTGTTTTTGGGGCAAGAATTGTTTGCTGTTTCAGTTTATTTTTATAGGTTTATACATCATCCTCCTGTACATGATTAAGTCACAAACAGATGTGGGTTAACTTTTACTGTAAAAGGACACTATTCTTAAAGGAGGCATTTCCCCCAGGTGGCACTCATATAAAACCAATATTTTTGCCAGTACCTTATTCTAATTATTCTAATATGATGCAAATAAACTTTTTAATGAATAAAGAAACAGTTACTCACATAAGTGTTGTCCACAGGCGCATCCACATCACCAAAGCTACACTGCAGTATCTGAATGGAGACTATGAGGTGGAGCCGGGTTTCGGAGGAGAAAGGAACGCGTACCTCAAAGACAACAACATAGAGACCTTTCTGGTGCTCGGCTGCAGCCAGAAACGGGTCAGTTATGCACACCGCAGCCATGAATTTATTGTGGTGCATTGATCTGTATGTGGTTATTTAACTGCATCGAATGAAACAGTTGTAATTATATCACAGTGTATTACATGATATATTGATTTTATAGTCTGTTTCCACAACTTTCTAAATAGTTCTTCCAGTCACATGTATGTTACTTTAGTATTGTGTCAGCAGTGTGTATGTGTGTGTGTGTGTGTGTGTGTGTGTGTGTACACCCTGCAGAAAGAGGAAAAGGCCATGATGGCTAAGATGCAGCGTGCCAGGGCCAACTCCTCTGATGGGTTAATGCCCCGCTGGGTGCCTGACCGATCCTTTTCCAGGACCAAAGACTCCAAAGTCTTCAGACAGATGGTAAACCCTGCACACTCCACTCACACACTCAGCCTCAACACACACAAACACACACACACACACACACACACACACACACACACACACACACATGGTTGAATGATGTTTCCGCATTTTGTAATAACAGAAGCGATAGCAACAAGCTGTAATTGCATCAGCTCTGAGTCAGTTCCTAAGTGTGAATTACTTCTGCTGGATCCTGGCTTATATCAGCACTGGGACCCTCCAACAGTGAGCTGAGACACAATGACAGAACAGATAACTCAGTTTGACTCAACCTTATTTATATAGTGCGTTCTGTATGGAGAGGCATCTTTACAAAATATTAAACTGTAAATAATGTAAAATCGATAGACAAGAGAAAATCAGTATAGTACAGGGAAGTATATGGATCATCCTACTGAACTGCTTCGAAGTCAGACTTCACATTTCAGACTTTAGGCTAAAATCTTTTTGCTTTGAGTGACCCTATACCTTCATTATGTTCATTTTATTAAAATAAAGATTGACCGTTCCATTTAGCTAATTTTGCATGAAACTCAAAAATGCTAGCCAGTGCATGACTAGCAAACACAGCTTTGAACAGTTGTACACATAAAATCATAATATTGTATTATAACACCAAAAAGTTTACTTGATTGCAAAAAATATGTTTCAGTAGTGACAGTTCTTTATGTCACACTGCTTTTCAGAATTTGGGACACATTTTCTTCAAAACAATGGACTGTTCACCATGTGGCCATGAGGGATAGGGATGCAGACTCACGTCCTGCTCTAAAATGCAGGGGCGTGGCTAAAATAAGGCTCTGCCTATGAACTACAACTCTATTTCCATAGTGACATGAAAATGTGGGACAGCATTTTTAGTACAGTTTTTTAATAAAATGATAAATAATGAATTTAAATATTTAAACTCCACTGTAAAAGAATTCAAAAAGCTATTTTAAAAAAATTGAAAAAAAATACAATAGTAATTACCCTATAAATGATGATTTCAGGTATATTTAGCTTTTTACTATATCAGTTAATGCTTCACTTGGTAAGAAATAAATCATAATATGATCATTGTAAATATCTAAAGTCTGAATACTTTTTTTTTAATAGTTTTTTTTTTACAGTGGGACCACAGTCCAGACTAATCTGGTAGAATGGTCCATGTATATGAAAATAAAAGAATACAAATATCTGAATTAAGACTAAAGCTACACTATGTACGTTTTGAGGATTTTGGATCTCTCTGGTGGAAATGTGTAAGGTGTAGAAGAATATATTGTAACATGGGTTGTGCTTCAGACCCCTTCCCCAAGTGAAAGAATCTGATTGTGAGTGCATTGAAAGAGAATTCAAAGAGAACTCAGTCAAAACGTGGTGAAGGACGTGTGTTCTGAGGATCTACGTGAATTATCTACTGTTGTCATCACATATTCATCAGTGTAATGTTAAATTTGCATTTAAGACCTAAACTTCGAGCCAGACCTTCTTACTGAGTCTGTGTGTAATTCCCAACGAATTACTGTTTCAGGCTTCACAAGGCGACTCACACCATAAAATTTGGACACCATATTTTAGTGTTTTTTCCCCTCCTGACTCAGTAATGCTACTCTTTTTAATTGTAACTTTTTTTTTTTTATTTTAAAACTATTATATACCATATCATGGGAAAACTAATGTGTCCTCACATTTTTAAATAAAAGAGTTTCACGTAGTATGTAAAACATTGTTAAAGTTTCAGAATGTAGCATTAATTCCTACATACAGTCCATTTAGGGAAACTAAACTTGTTTTGAATTCAATTTTTTTGGCAATGAAACCAGTGCGTTTACATGCATTTGCCTGTTCAGACTGTAGCGATTTAGCCCCGCTCATTTACACTGAAGCTATGAGTGTTTTGGGCTGAGCTGCATTCCGAAGGAGGTACAATACAGGGCAGCCAATCAGAACAGAGATAATTATATATAAGGCTTAAAGGCACAGTAACAAAAACATCCTGTTTCATTCTAAGATAAATTGGAAAATTGCCATGTAAAAATGACACAAATGTCATTAACAATTTCTTAGGAAAGAAAAATAAAATACATGAGAAATTTCAGATATGGGCTCTTTAAAATGAGCTATTTTAATAGAAGCTGTTTCATGATAGATTTGTTACAGGATTGGATCAGATTTATTTATTTTACCCTCCGATGTCCACTACAGCATTTTCTGTTGATATCAGCCCGACACCGAAACCTGGCATCCTATCAGTGCCGTCTCTAATAGACACAGTTTTAGACTATTACTATGTTATTTCTTTTCTGTCTGAGGTTCTCTCCCTCTCGTTGTGTCTTTATCTCTCGGTTGCTTTCTTTCTGGGTGTACTCTGAAGTCTGGACTGCTAATTAAAGCTGCGGGCTGGAAAAGTCTTCTTGGCTGTATCGCAGCCTGTGCTGAAGTTGTCTGTGTTTTTGTGATTCGTTCTGTTTGCACTGGCTACTGTAACTAATCTCTGCGTCCTGCTTGTCCCCAGGGCATCGACGAAGCCTCCAGCAAAGACAAGTGAGTAGTGCTTTTATTAGTACTCCAATCCCCTCCTGCGCTCTGGCCTTGCTGTAGACGCTGGGTTAGATTTCTGTGCTCTTACAGTAGCGGGTCGTCTCTCTATAGCACTGAGCCTGCATGATGTGAATATTCATGTAGGGAGTTAAGGCCAATAAAGCCCTCCTTTGTGTGGCTTTGTGCAGAGCCGAGCTGACTGCTATTAATAGTTAAATAGCTTTAGCGATATGTCAGAACAGTGATTTGAACTATGCTGCCATGCAGAGGGGGATCATTATTTGATCCCTATGCGCTGCATACGAAGTGTTTGACAGCTCTCTTTAAACCCTACACTACAGCTGTGTGACCCGTTGCTCTCTCTGAGGTGTCTGTGTGTGTGCGCTCTGATTTCTCTAGCCACTGTGCTCAGGAGGCTCTGAACCCCGAGGATGAGGTAGATGAGTTTTTGGGACGTGCCATCGACGCCCGCAGCATCGACCAGCTACGCAAAGACCACGTCAAAAAGTTCCTGCTCACGTTTCAGACGCCATTTCTGGAGAAAAAGGTTCATAGACAGTCCACAGCGCATCATATCAAACAGTGCAGATGATTGAACCACTAAATGCTGAATTCCAAACAGATGGAACACTGAAAAGAATTTCACTGAATTCACTTAAAGTGGAATTTCACAGATTTTTCCAAATTTCTACATGATTAAAATCACTAGAAACAAATTCATTCAGAGTGGTTGATGTGAAATGGTTTTTTTATAGATAAACAGTGGTGGTGATAGGAGTCAGGGGTCACAATGTCTATAACACAAATATAGCCATTTTTTTTACTATCCAAAACCACCAGTGAACCAAAACGTCTAATGAGTTTTTACATTTAAATGTAGATCATGATAAAATAACTGAACTAAAAAAATACAAACTTTTAAGTAATATTTTGGCTTACAACACCCCACATATCTCTCTGGCATGAATATATTTCTAAAAAATATGTTTTAGGCCAAAACCTTCTCAAAGCTATCTAAAACAGTGTCTCAGGCATCAGGTAGCATATTCAATGGCAGCATAAACACAAGCAGCATATTCAATGACTGCGTAACCATTTCCTGTATTAACTTATTTTGAAGTAGATTTTAGAGCCAAGAACGATGATCACCACTAGTTCCTGTTCTGACTCAACGAATTTCTGTAGAACATTTAACCACTTAAACAATTTGTAAAATTTCTCTTTTAATTCAAATAATTTGTCTTTGAATAAAGGATGTTACATCAACACAACTGATGTAATATAGAAGTCCGAATTATATACTTCATCAGAGGGCAGTGTAGAGCCTGTGTCTTACATTTTGGTCAGAGGTTCTAGTCTGTTCAGTTTAAAGAGGGAAACATAGAAAGACCACTACAGTTGTCAAAAGGCAAAACACACACCAAAATATAAATTTTATTAATGTGGAAATGTGGAACATTTGAATCAAGTCAATTCAGTGCACGTTTTTCAATGTAAACACCAATTGGAGCTGTTTTTTTTTGACTGTAGTCTATTCACAGGTGTCAGAGTATACCCAAAATATCAAACATGCATGCTTAGATTCAAGTCGATTTTAGACCAGTCATTTTACATGATGGACACTGTTGTCCCACAGTGAGAGAGAGGAGCTGCTCACAACTGGAAAGCTATGATTGCCTCTACAGTAGCTCCAAAAATAACCCAATAAGTCTAGGGCAAAACTTTTTTTGCTTAAATCTGGTGGTAGTTTCAAAGTAGCCTACTAGGTCACAAGCTTGGTTGGCATAGTGACATCACTTCATCACTTCTTGTTATTACAAAAAAATGTTTGTGCACTAACCAGCCGAAATCTCACAACACTACATTACACACTCCATCTAATACCCTGTACTATTAGTGTTTAGTATACAGTTGTGATACAGCATAGATTTGCCAATGATTGAATTCCATTATATAATTCAACATGCTCTTTTTTCCAATAGTATTCTAAAAAGGTGGATGACCGCTTCGGCGGATATGTGGCCTGTACCCTGCTGGTCTTCTTCTTCATTTGCTTCATTCAACTCACTGTCCTCCCACAGTATGTAAATAAAATGGTTGACAAATGTTTATATATCAAGATCCCACATGTAAGCTACTTATAGCCTAATATGTAATGATATAAAAACATATATAATAAACTTTTATGTAAAACACATGATGTTTACATGTTTTTGCTCTCTTTCAGCACAACACTAATGCTTGGCATCTTCATCAGTATCTTTATAATTCTTGCCAACATCCTCTTCATTTGTGCCATCTACTCCTGTGTTAAGGTTAGCGCTGCTGTATCAGTCAGCCTTAAATTTTTGAATTTTCATTGGCGTTAAAATGGTTTTATTTGGGTGAAGTATTCACTCTTTTTTCACTCTCTCTCTTTTTTTCTCAGCTCTTCCCTGTTGCCTTGCAGACCGTGTCAAAGAAGATAGTGGAGTCTCGTACCAACAGCACGTTAGTGGGGGTCTTCACTGTCCTACTTTTGTTCATCTCTGCCTTCGCCAACATGGTGGGCACTGCTGTTGTTCAGTCTTAGGATGGCATTTGAATTGTGCTCAGCCCCTTTTTGATTATCTGCCCTTTTTGATTTTTGCAAACTTTCACAGGTGACATGAATTCACTCAATCCGTCACTGTTGTGTCTGTAGCTGGCATAGCTGGGCGGTAATGTCCCAGCAATGAGACCTTCTTTACAGAAGTATTACTTTGTCCTCTGCTTTCTCATTAAGCATCTTCAAAAGCAGCTCGAACTGGACTACAGCCGTGTGTGAAACACTCAAAGTTTAGGCTCCTGATTTAGGAGCTGAAACTCCCTGTGCTCCTTTTGCTTTTCCAAACGGAAAGTAGCCAATCCAGGCTCTGTTGGTCTTTTTGTGAGGAGCAAAGAATATCTTTATCACTTAAAGACATTCTGACTGTTTGTCTTACACAACAAGTAGTGGTTGAAATCTTCCCCTACGAAATGAGACCCTCAAATAAAAAAAGACCATTATTTCATTAACAGGCTGCTAGTGCTGCTCTGTAGGCGACCCTGCCAGTCTGCAGTGATAGCAGAGGAGGGTAAAGTTCAGCAAACTCACTGCTGGGCTTTTAAATTTAGGGCATCATATGACTTCAAAGAGGGGGGTCCGATAATTATTTATTAGCGCCCACCCCTAATTCTTCAGTGATATGAAGCTGAAGTCAGCGATTCACCAGCTTCTTGTTCGAATTTTGATGTTCCACGTTAAATGGAGCAGCAGTTACATTCTGGCACTTCAGGTGTCAAAACTGCTGGACTATTTAAGGTGGAGCAGGAAATTTAGCTAGTGAGCTACCGACAATAGCGTACTATTAGCGATTTTTTATGCTTGTTATGAAGAAAAAGACCAAATGCATTAAAACAACATTAAACTAAGATAATACAATGGTTATCATATTTTTTAACGGAGAAAATACTTCATCATCTCATCCAATACTTTTCCTGTAGCTTATTGCAGTTGTGTCAGAATGGCCACGTGTATCATTACATGTCTTTTTAATGCAAATAACACATGAACATTTTCTCATCAACTTAATAAACTAATAATTGATTAATCAACTAATCGTTACAGATGCTCTGCTGTATGTTTCTCTTCAGTCAGGATGGGCCAGTTTTGCCGTTTTCAGAATTGTAAACCAGCCTTTACTAACTCATATTGAATATTAGTAATACGTCTCACTGCGGTATGACAGTGTAATGCTATTAATGCTAGCAGTAATATGGTGTAATGTGATGTTTCTTCCTGTATGTGGATTTAAATTCTATTAGCCTCTGAAGAAATACGCTGGTTTATCTGTTGGCAGTTTACGTGCGAGAAGGAGGGTGTGATTGAATGTGTAGCTGAGGAGCTGAACATCTCTGAGAGCGCAGTGACGCTGTGTGTGCTGCACAACCTCACACACTCAGCAGGAGACACACTATCACTCTGTCCGAGCCAGAAAACCCCGTGTCCTTTCCCCGAGGTCAGTGTACGTGTGTATATGGAACTGAATGAGCATGTTGATGTGTAGCCTTCAGTTTTGCATTCATATTCGCACGTTCATGTCTGGATGAGTCTCCAGGGTCTGACTGCTCAGGGTTGTGTTTTCTTCTCCAGTACTTCACCTATAGCGTGCTGCTGACTCTGCTGGCCTGCTCTGTGTTCCTGCACATCAGCAGTATAGGCAAGCTGGCCCTGATGCTGCTCATTCAGCTCACCTTCCTGCTGCTGCTCGAGTGGCCTCTGGTGGTCCTGTTCGATAACACTGACCTACTGGTCACCGCCAACGCTCTGTGAGTTCACCATTAGATCTGTTAAAGAAAGATACGTTGGCTAGTTCTCCACTGGAGAAATATACATTGCAGACACAGCACTGGAGAAAGACACACTGGGTCTGTTAGCTCTCCACCAGTCTCAGATTCATATAGGTACTACTGTAGAATCCGCTGTCCTCCTTGAGGGGAGTCAATTTGCTAGCAAATCACAACCAGATAGGACATGTTAAAAAAAACAAGAATTCAAATGCAAGTATGTCATTTTCTTTTAGAAAAGCAGTAACTGCAAATGAATCTCTCGTTTTAAGTTAGTTGAAATAAATCATAAATACCTTGGAAATAGGGCCCCTACAGTTGTACGCAAAAGTTTAAATATGTCCAGTCAAATAATATTTATCTAAGAGAAAACAAGGTAAAACACTTTCTACAGGAAACAAAGTTATATATGACATGACATTGTTCAATATTTCAATAATTATAATAGAACAATAACAATATTAGCTGAGTTTAACATTGTTAAAAAATTTTGTACTCCAGAAGTTATAGATAAACAGTGATACACCTGACAGATGTGGCTGTAAGTTCTCAATTGTTATACTACTTTAAGGGCCTGTGAAATTGGATAAAATGTAAAAGAAGAGTTTTGAAGAGTTTAAGTGTTTGTTGTAAACATGGTTAAAGTTTTAAAAAACAGTCCCTTTTAAATTATATGTTTTTATGATGTCACTGAAACTCGCACGTTTGTTAATGCTTATTCAGCCTACATAATTTGGTTTGGATACATTTTAATTGTTTTTGTAGTACTAGCCAAGACAGTGTTTTGACCAAAAGAAAATCATTAATTATCAAGGTTGTTTTTGCTGATACCACTAAAAAAGCTGGTCGTCAGTATCGTTCAACTGTTATATTGGTCGGCCACTACTCTGAACAGACACATTCATTTCACTTTAATACATTATATTAAGGAGTATAAATGAAAGTAAAATGTCTTTGTTAAAACTAATGTTACTCTTTGAGCAACATTATTTCCAGAGTGGAATTTCATTGGAATCCACTCTGTTGAGTTTCAGAGTTAAAATCTTCTGCATCTGGTACTGACACTAGCTCTCCACTAGACAAGTTAGAGAAAGACACACTACGTACCCTGTTAGAGAACCAGTGTTGTAGCTACAGCAATGTGTCCTTCATTGTAGACAGACACAAATTATTTTAATGTTCACACAAAGTAGCTTTGTTTCATGTGATTTTGTTCTTCCCTTTCAATTCCCTTTCTGAGAGAAAGAAGCCTCTGCTGTGTTCTTAGCTTTGCGTGTCTGTGTGTTCTTTGTGGGTCATGTAGGCCACTAATGGGAATATTTCTATTTTTGTATACAGGTCCAGTTTCAATGGAACACATTGGTAAGTTCATGACACTAGCGTTGATTGTGAAAAATGGTTCAAAGTCAAAGTGATAGAATGATAGAATGAGCCCAAGTTGTTCCAGCTAACCTTGAATCTAATTTGGTCTTGGCGTTTTTTCATTGTCTCCAGCCTTCTAAAAAGTTTGCACATTTATACAAACCTATAAAACTGAGTCCTGACATTTAAGGACAAGCAGAAGAGTAGAAGTGACTGATAAAATGTAACTGGGTGAAAAGAAAGACAAACACAGTGTTCCACATTTTATTGCATATTGTTGCTGTTATCATGAAATTTTCGCAGTGTAAAAGGAGCTGATTTGATCACTTTGTCAAACAATGAAAAATGGAGATACTTGGTTTTTTTTGGACAGTGACGATATCAGTGCGGCTGTCGAACAGTGTCTACTTCTGCCACTGTATTGACTCTGAGTCCGTGCTCATGTCTGCTTCCTGTTCTCCTTATAGCCATGAAAGAATGAGTAAGGTGTCCTTGAAGGTGATGACTCCAGTAATCCTCACTGTGTTTGTGTTGGCGCTCTACCTGCATGCCCAGCAGGTTGAGTCCACTGCACGCCTGGACTTCCTGTGGAAACTTCAGGTAGTCCATGCTCATGTTACTGTGAATTACATTGTTCTTTAACTATGTAAGAGTAGAGATGGTATGATGACCACTTTCTCGTTTCCAGTACCAATACCAGTAATGAAACTGGTGATGGTCATTACAGTTATATGATATTCTAATTTGTAAGAATTCTCTACTACATAATATTCTACTACATTCACAGACTGGACCACAAATCCATAGTAGTGGACATAGTGGATTGAAGAACAGACAGATGTTAAATGTCTGTTTTCACCTCAGCTAACGGTTACTAGCCACATTGTATTTCACCTTGTACCTTTTTAGCTCCAAAACAGCGGGTTTATGAAGAATTAGCTGATACCAAGTCTAATACGTTTATTAAAGAATGTTCGAAGTTTACTCCATTAAATCTATTTAAGTAGAGTGTAAAATGCTACGTGCTGTAGCCATGCTTTGTTCTAGCTGCTACCCTAAAGTCCCAGAGACCCTCTGCCTTCATGTCACAGAGCTTCTTCTCTAGTCTCTGGTAGCTTTTGGCTGGCTGCAGTAGTCTTTCTATTCATCCTTCTTTGGACCAAGCAGATGAGAAACTGACCAATATGTAAGATGCAAGTTTAACACTGAGTTTAGAGTTCATCTGATTCGATATTCAGTAATCAGGACACGCAATGTTAGAGAAGCTAATTTGCATATAAAACATTGACTACATTTACTTTTCCATTTTTGAAACTACCATGACTATTCAAATATGTGAACATTGACTGATCCCTAAACAAAACCTTGCCAGTACTGCTGACACCGATCCAAGAATTTTTCTTTATGTTTTTAAAGTTAGTAATCTTTTTCTTTAATTGAATTATGTTGCTTAAAATAGTCATCTAAAAGTAGAATCCTCAAACTGCTTAAAATCGCTAATTTTTAAATGTACAAAAACAGAGACATGGATCCATATTTAGAGAATGTATAGCTTTACAGAGAAATGACAGGTTAAAACTTTTTTTTGTGCCTGCCATTAAACTCATAGGACTTGCATTTGGTTTCTGTTACATTTTCTTTCTGCATTGCACTTTTATTTAATTTTACTTTTAACCAATTAAATTTTTTATTGCTAGTAATTTATTGTTTTTATTGCAAACTTTTATCTTTTTATATTTTTAGTACTAAACTTTTCCTTTTCTGATTATGTAAAGCACTTGGATTGGCAGTTTGTGTGTTATACAAACTTGCCTTGCCTTATGTTAACATTAAGTTACACATGGCTGCTTTTATCTCGTGGCTTAGTTTATTTTCTGTAATATTTCCTAGACATGGAACAGAATTGGATGGTTTTTTGTTATTTCTCTCCAATCCAGCATTTTCTGCTGGTATCAGCCCAGTACAAAGACGGGTGGGTGCCATCGTAATTGTGTAAGAATCAAAAGGATTGCATAACTGAGTGTTATGAATCCAAGGCTTTGTTTGTGCTTCAGTTTGTAGTCATGTTCCTGTCATTTCTGTCACAAGGCTGTCATTTCAAGAAACTTAGTGACTGAGAAGGAAGGAAGGGTACATTGTGAGATCGTCTACAGTTTTGCAAACACGAAGCGGTCAGTTAGCCTTTATTTCCTTAATATTGCACACATAAATCTGTGTGCAAAATCTCATTTGTGTCATAACAGCCCTCTGGCTGAGACGCTCTCCTGATACAATACACACAGATACACAGGGAAGGCACAGGTGGTGTTGTAGACACGTGCTTGTCCAGTATATCATCTGAAATTAAGGGTATTAATAGAGAGTTTGTCCCTCTGTGCTGCTGTAACAGCTGCTACTCTTCTGGGAGGAATTTAGATTGGATGTTGAAACATTGCTGTGAGGATTTGATTGCATTCAGCCACACTAGTGCATTAGTGACAAACTCCACTCCAACCCTTTCAATAGTACTGGTTGGAGCTCCATCACTCCAGAGAATGCATTTCCACTGCTCTACAGCCCAGTGCTGGGGGGCTTTATACACCTGTAGCTGAGGCTTGGCGCTGGGCATGGTGACCATAGTGACTTCTACAGAGCATCCTATTCTATCAGTATATGTTTTTTATGGAGTTTCTATAAGCTGTATATGCAATATTCAACACCTATGTCAGCAATAGGTGCACCTTAAAGAAGCTCACTAGAGGTCACTTATTAGGAGTGTTGCAAACTTTTTGACTTACAGTGTAACTTACAACGTATAACAGCTCAGCCTTAAAACAGTAAAGCAACTAAAGTACAACCAATGACAAAATATATTTTAAAAACTAGAACAGTTTAAACTGCTTTCCAATACTAAAACTTACTTTTTACTGCGGTTTTTAACACATGATAATAAACATGCCTGTCAGTGTTCTTGTAGCATGTCATGGTCTGGTAGTCCTCACTAATGGCTGTGTTCTGCTGGCTAGGCTACTGAAGAGAAAGAGGAGATGGAGGAGCTGCAGGCCTACAACCGTCGTCTCCTTCATAACATCCTGCCTAAAGACGTGGCTGCCCACTTCCTGGCCCGAGAGCGACGCAACGACGAGCTTTACTACCAGTCATGTGAGTGTGTGGCTGTGATGTTTGCCTCCATCAGTAACTTCTCTGAGTTCTACACAGAGCTGGAGGCTAATAACGAGGGTGTGGAGTGCCTGAGACTGCTCAACGAAATCATCGCTGACTTTGATGAGGTAAGGAGGGGAAATGAGGACACCGTGGTTAGCTGTATTGACTAAAGTGATGGTGACAATGTGGTGCGTGACAGTCTATGTGCTAGCATCAACATTTTTTCTTCACTTTATCAACTCTGATCAATGACAATTATGTAAAACTGTTTAAAGGGCCCATATTTCTGGAGAACTGAATTGTCCTCGTTTTTCTTAAATAAATATGTATGTCATATATAAACATTAAGCAAGTTTCAAAGCTTACCGTTAAGTCATCTGTCTATACAGATCATATATGGAAACTAAACTGCAAAAATAGCTCGTTTGGACTCTTACTAAACGCTTTTACGTATATCCACCTATTCAGCCTTACACAGTTCAGCTCTGCCCATTAATGCTTAAGTTACAAGAAGTGTTTCAGCCCAGGCTGCTTTTTAAACAAGACAAAAAGAACCAGCCAATCAGAACAGAGATCATTTACATTTATCAGTCTTAAAGGCACAGGAACAAAAACAGCCTGTTAAATTCTAAGGGATAAAAACAGACTGAATTTTTTGGTACATAAACCTTACAAAGGACACGAGTGTTACGAGCAGAATAAAAAAATAGCTACAGTAATTTTCCTCTTGCCTGGATGTCAATCAGTCAAAGTTTAATGTCCCAAATTATCTTTTAATTTTACAATTGGTGGGGAATAAGCTTCTATTATCTGTTAGCAAACATGTTTAGACTGACCAGCTACATCTGGGGTGAACGAAAAATTGTCTAAATTTGTTTTTTTCAACTTTTCCTTCATGATTTTTCATTCATGTTTTTATTATTTTCCCATTTGTTTTCAGATAATCAGCGAGGACCAGTTCAAGCAGCTGGAGAAGATCAAAACAATAGGCAGCACTTACATGGCAGCGTCAGGGCTGAATGACTCTACGTATGACAGAGAGGGCCGCTCACACATCTTAGCGCTGGCTGACTACGCCATGAGACTCCGCGAGCAGATGAAGTACATCAACGAGCACTCCTTCAACAACTTCCAGATGAAGATTGGTCAGTAGCTCTCCTCTACTGATAAGTGTCCAGACAGCGGTTTGAAATTTCAGCATACAGTTATATGCAAACGTTAAAACCCCCCAGTCATATTATTTTTAAATAAAGATGATGACACATCCTCCACAGAGAATAAACTTAAACAGAACTGTGTCAAATTCTACAGCATAATTTCTGTTTATTTGTTGTGTTTGCATATATAAAATGTGCCACTTAAACAAATAACATTGCAAATACTGTACAATTGTGTATTAAAATGTGTGTGTTCACTTATTTCTACATAGAAAATTAACAAAACATTTGACTAGAGGCACCCAAACTTGTGCGACTCTACAGTGCAGTGGGCAATATGACTTTTTTGTGTATATATATATATATATATATATATATATATATATATATACACACACACACACACACATACACACACACACATACATACATATATATACACACACACACACATTCCTTATTGGAGATAAACATGGTGGCTAGCTAGTGTTAAAATATGGTGAAAGCTTTCATTTTAAAATGTGACAATCATCGCAGTCAATATGCTACAAATGCTGGCTAGTTTAAGGACAGCATTTCTCACTACCCCTGCTCGGATATGTCCTCATCCTCCTGAAGTAGTTTTATCATTCACACTGCCGTGTTTGTTTTTTTTGTTGTTTTTTTGCCACTGCTGTCTATCTTCACATGACTCACCCATGACAGTTGCTACAGTGGTAATGCAAAAGTAATGAACTCTGTAGAGCATCAGTGTCAGCCAGTACCAGATTCACACCATCACATGGAATTTGATACACTAACATCCTGAGGCAGATATTAGCTTCTTACTTGAATTTCCATTCCGCCTTAAATAGTCACAAACTATTGCTTGTACAAGCATCTAAATTTAACCGCTGTGTCATTTAAGCTGGGATGGGAAAAGAGAATTAGAGGTTAACTTGAGCTTCATCTAATGTAACATGTATTGTCTGAGTGTTCTTGTGTTTATATGTGTAAGGTTACACATTAGTTCACAGTAACTGGTATGAGAGATTAGCTGTACCTGATCATTTGGTTGATTTAGTGATTTATCTTTGTGTTTTTGGGTGTATTTGCTTAAACACAGTACCAGTTGACTTTTAGTTTAGTTAAACTTGCTCTATACAAATCTGTGTCCATATGCAGCTGGGGTTAGATGTCACCATTTTGCTTCATGTGAAACACAGTAACTTGCATCCTGATGTATTTTTAAGTGATGCCCACCCCTAGAGACCAAGCCCACCCCTAGAGACCAAGAGAAAAGAATTGAATTTTCTCTCTGGCATTATAATAGGCCAGCTGTGGCTTTACCTTATGAAAGTGTGAAAGCAGGCAGTGATCATGCATGTGCTCTACAGGTCTGAATATTGGGCCTGTGGTTGCTGGGGTCATCGGAGCTAGAAAGCCTCAGTACGATATCTGGGGGAACACAGTGAATGTGGCCAGTCGTATGGACAGCACAGGAGTGCCTGACTGCATCCAGGTACCATTTCTGTTAAAACCCCTATACACACAAAGCCATTGCTCATTCTCTGCATAGACACATTCTGAAGGATTATTCAGTGAACATATAAAAATCCACAGACAGTAACAATCAACAATACCAATGTCTGATTATAGCATTCTGTAGGTAATGAAACAGAAAATAATAATAATATATATTATATATATATATATATATATATATATATATATATATATATATATATAATGTGTGTGTGTGTGTGTGTATATATATACACAGATTACAGGCAGTGATTTCTTGATCTTGCAGGTTACACTGCCATCTGTTGTGCTCTGAGTGCAATTGCAATCTTAGAATATCTCAGGAAGGTTTAGATTAAGTAGAGTGCTGTTACTTTCATTAGTGTGCTCTTCAAATATAATTACATAATAATTTCATAGTGATTTAAGCATTGAATTTTCTCATCAAAGTGAATTGTAAGCTGCCATTACGTTACTATAAATGATTCAATTTTCAGAGCCAGGAAAAAAACAGAAACCATATACAGTCATAGGCAAAAGTGTGTGCAGCTTTGGTGAAATTGAATTCTGTTGATTTTTTACGTGAAAATAAATGAATAATAATCTAAGTGAAAATAAATTAATTCCTCTACAGCAGGCGTTATTAACCTTTTTTCACAGTGTGCCAATTTTTAAGGGTTAAAACTATTTTGTGACCCCCCTCTCTTCCCTTGCCCTGCAGGTCGCCCCACACAACTACACACATTACAGACGTTACAGGATAATCAAATAGTAAATCTGCTCATTTAATGGGATGACTAGGCTTGCATTACTTAACTAGCACTTTGCCAAAAAACACAAATCTTTTGTTTGTGCTAAAAGTGCTTAAAATGTCGCAGTCAGTCAGCCTATTAGTTCAATCAAGACCCTCCGTCAGTAACAAGCTCACCCAATAGAAATTCCTAATCGATGTTTGCCTGTTTTCTGAAGCCTGCAGGTGGCGCTATTGAGCAGAGATTGTTTGCTCTCTTCAAAATTATTTTCTAATTATGTTTTATAAAGTGTGTGTCTTCATAGCAACATTCTTGCGACCCCCAAGTTACTTACGGGACAGTAGGAAGGTGGACCCAAGTGCAGAGAGGAAAACCCATGAAAAAGGGTCTTAAATGAACTAATGAGGTGACGTAGGGCAAATAGAGTGATCCTGTATGTTGGGGTGGCTCAGAGGAGTTACCGCTGCGCCACAGGGAAGCACAGGTGAAAACGGGAAAAACACCTCAATGATTGGGAATGAACAAAATGGCGGGAAAGGGCAGACAAAGGGGAAACTGCCTGCTCAAACAGAGGCTGAGATAGAAAAATAAAATAAAAAAAAATCAAAAAACAAAAGATACTTCCTCTGTAATTATGAGAGGAAGATCAGTTTTGTGTTTCACCTGTTTGTTCTTTATAGAACAAACACTTATTGGTTGGCTTGGAGCCGTTTAAGCCTTCTTTTTGTGTTTTCAGTAGTTTTTGGGCAGTTTATTCTTTTTAGCCCTCTTTTTCTTCTTTCTGTCACTTTGGGGTGATTTCTTTTCTCAGCCCTCTTTCTTTTCTTGAACGACACTGAGTACTGTACTGGTCACCCCTCTACAAAGGTGTGACAAGGAGCTATTGTTTGCCATGGCCTTAAGCAGAGGAGCCCACAGGTGTGCCAGATTAGCTCCTATCAGCCCGAGGGCTTCTGGGAATTGGAGTTCCCTGAACTAGTGGTGCTGTCGCCCTCTGCTGGCAGCTGGCGGCACAGGGTGGACCTTTACAGGTTCTGCATATTTTAATGCATAATTACTGTTTATTTACTCAATTTAACATATTGGAAAATAAAATATAAAGTGTGGCCAGTGCAAAAGATATGGTACATTTTATATTTTGTTTTATTTTTTTTTGCACCATGTTAAACTATAAATAGTTAAAAATAAATAGGAAAAAATGCTATATTTGAACCGCGACCCAGAAGGATAAGCGGTTTAGATGATGGATGGATGCTATATTTGACTGATTTGCACTTAGAAAGTCAACCAAGGGTGTTCAAACATTTGCATACAACCGTATTTAACAGAAAATTATGAAAATGTTTAACAACTAAATCTGTGTGTGGATTTGTGTAATAGAGCAAAACTGATTATTTCAATTGAACATGCAAAAGTATGTATAAAACACAAGTCGGCTTTCGTGTAACAAGAAGTGTTACCAGTGCAATAAATATTGAATTGCACCATGATTTTGTTATCATCAGAAATAACTTACATGTAAGCATTAAAATTCAACAATCCCACTTTCACTGTATACTGATAACAGTCTTTGTTTCTCACAGGTGACCACTGATCTGTACCACGTTCTGGCCAACAAGGGCTACCAGCTGGAGTGCCGTGGCCTTGTCAAAGTGAAAGGGAAAGGAGACATGACCACTTACTTTCTCAACAGTGGCCCTTCTAGCAGTTAACACTGACCAAATGCCTCCGGTTGCACTGAAGTGAAAGAGGAGGATATGCTCTGGAGCATAAACGAAACATGCTTTTCTTGCTGTTCCGGAGTAAAACCACTGAGAGACTCACAGATTAGCCTGACGGTGGTATTGTATTTAATATATGCACACACTGAGAATATGTTCTCATTCTTAGCTGCTCTCATAGACTGTCTGAAAGAGCGAATGTCTAAGCGCGCTGGCCTTAGATGGAAGTGACTTCAGAAGAGGCTACATTTTCATTTCTTTTGTTTCAACACCAAAATGTGGATTCTTTATTTATTTTCTTTTTGACTGATTTTTAAAGACACACAACACACAAATATATATGCAAGGATGAAGAATAAGAATGCAGATGACCAAAGAACAAACGTGTTTGATATAGGAACACTACATGCGTGTTTGATATGTCAGAGCTATTGTCTGATTTCTTTTTTCTATGATTCTTGAAGATCTACGTTCTTTTATGGGCACTTAAGACTTTTTTCTTTTTGTTCCCACCACATAAAGGCTTCAGAGACCAGAGAGGGGCTGTAATGACTTTTATTCGTACAGCTTATCGATGCTTCTTATTGTTTTTGAAGAGTTTTGGGGAAGTGGAGTGAAGAAACTATGAAGGATGAGCATTGGCATTGGACACAAGAAATGTATCTTACTGTTTATGTTCTTATTGAACCTGTAAGTTAAGTGTGTGTGTGTGTGTGTGTGTGTGTGTGTGTGTGTGTGTGTGTGAGAGTGGGCTGAAGCGTCTGAGAGAATATACTGTCTTCTTTAAAGGGCAAAACTGCTCACTGTGAGGTTTCTATAATCTATGTGCAATCACTTTCTTGCCAAATTGACTGCTCCCAGGCATGTCGGACTTTTGTTATCAATATTTCTATATATAATTTTGTGTTCATTCCTCTTAAATGGTTTAATGGTTTAACTCCCCTCTCACCAAAGTTGATGGTTTTATGCCAACCCTTCCTCCATTCCAAAAGAAATCTCTAGTAGGGACAGAGTGGAAGTGTTGCTTTAACAGATACAGCTTTAATGCCGAACGCCCTCACAATGGGCCTCGTTCACCAACTGTTCTCAAGAAGAAATTTCTTCTTAAAACCTACTTACGCAGTTTTTATGAAGATTTTGACATTCACCAATGTTTGTCCTTAGGTAAGAGCAGAATCTACGCACACTCAAGAACACAAAGGTGCGAATAATTCTGTGATTTAAGAACATGTCATGAATCTGACGTAGACTTCAACTTAGGACTTTTCTCAAGAACACATTTAAGAGGAAACTTAGGGTGATATTGGTGAACGAGGCCCAACATTTGTAACCGTGTTCCCAGCAGATGATTGCTGGTAAAAATCTTTAATGTAAACATACCAGTGTTAAGGTATTAGGCATAATTAAACCCATTTAAAATGGTAATTCAAAATTTCTGCCTTATTAAATCATTAAGATGTAAACAAAGCCATTCTGAGTGGTTTGACGTGAAACTAGAATTGTTTGTGGAATTAGGAATGTGTCACAGTTGTTTACAGTGGTGAAAGGAACCAAAGCTACAACGGAAAATTATTCCATGAACTGGTTATGAATACACTGGCTGATGTCTTGAGACGTTGTTTTACCTTTGACTTCTGGCCCTTATCAGGCATCGAGGAAACCCCTAAAACTCATCTCTGTTCATTAGAATTACATATTTTGAAGTCATTTCCAAGAAAAAATCCCCTAATTCCTTAAAAGCTGCTTAGTGTAGATAGATAGATAGATAGATAGATAGATAGATATTTTTTCAACTTCATTTAGTTTGTGCAGATCTATGAATATTTCCACTGTGGAGCCAAATGGTTCTCAGGGCCGTACTGTGCCGTTCTGCGCTTGTCCGGACTCAAGTTATGATAAGACAAGTTATGGTTTCTTTTTCCATCTGTTGTGCCACTAAATCAGAAACAGGGAATATCTAAGAAATCTACACGAATGAGTGGCTATCTGCTAACAGGCTAATAGCTACACACACACCACCCACCACAAAATTTTATTCCGTCTGTCATTCCAAACACCAGTCTCACACCATGCTCTCAGATTCTTTGCCCTGGGTTTTATTTGAGCATCAGTTACTGAAACTGAGGCTGTACTGTGGCAAGTTACACCTGTAGCTGTCTAACTACACTAGCATTAGCGTAGCAAAGCAGGGTGCAGCTCAAAGCACCACAGAACCACAGAAGTCTATTTTTATTTCTTTTCTATATTTTTTTTATATCTTCTTCACTTAAACACCTGTCAAATTTGTGTTCTCATGTATGAGTCGGTGATTTCTAAGCATCGGTTCGCTGAATAGAGTCTGTACTGCAGTGGGAGGCACCATACACTTGTGTTAGCTTAGCTTAGCAGGCCACAGCTTAAAGCACTATAGCACCGGTTTAATTTCAGCTTTCTGTCACTCCACCACCAATCAATCACCTTTGCTCACTGAAATAAGTTTTTATTGTCTATACTTAGTCAAATCGAAACTATGCTGGGGTGTTTGGATCTCTTTAGCTAAGCTAAGTTAGCTAGAGGAGACAGGAGCCAGCTAGCATTAGCTTAGATAGGAGGCTACAGCTTCAAACACCAGAAAACAGGCTTATTTTTCAGCTTTCTGTCCCCTCTAACATCAGCCACTTGACTTTGCTTCCTCAGATTTGAGTCATTGTCATCTAAATTTGTGTCAGTAAAGCTTTTGGCAGTCAAAATCGAACCTGTTCTGTGGTGAGCAGAGCTAGCAGCATGCTAGCTAACCTAACGCTCACCAGCTACTATCTCCTGGTTAGCAGTGCTGTTTAAAAATTGGTGTTAGATTGAAGCTTTGATGTTTAATGAATGGTGGATTTAAAGTCATGCACTGCTTTCGTTTATTTGGCGTCAGTGTGAGCGAACTGAACTTATTTGATTGTTTTCTGGTTTAAAATAATGCACAGGATACTGTGGAGCAATACCACCATACATGTAGAACCAGTCAGTGAATAGCTACGTCACTATGTCATCCTACCAAACGGTTCTGTGGTCCCAAATACGGTTAGCAAACTGTGCCGAGAGAAATGCGCTGGGCCTGTTTTTTTTTTTAATGACCACAAGTAAAATGGCTATATTTTTTATGTAGACGTGGTGACTCCTGGTTCCTATCGCCACCACTGTAAAGAAATCTGAATTGCTGAGTTTCTCTACAATCAACCATTTTAAACCACTCTGAAATACCTTGTTTATGTCTGAATGACTGAATTATGCAGAAATTTTGAAAAACAAATTCATTCCATTTTCAGCAGCTTCATGTTTTAGAGTGTGTTTAAGTGATGATGTAATCTAACAGTGGACAAATCACGGATATGTTCATCATTTCTGCGAGGTGTTGCCGTCAGGACGGAATATCAGTGATTTACCATTAACACATAGGATTAGGGCTGCTGCAGTCATGACTGTGTCTTTGTAATAGTGCTATTAAAAAGTGACTCATGATCCAAATTCTCATCACTTTCAACTGGTTTCCATGTAAATGTACATTTTACATCCTTTTCTCTGCCCTATATAAATGGCCCTTTTTAAGTTAAAGCATTATAGTCCCACATTCAGGACATTTTCCACAAGACAGATCAATAAACTGTGCGCTTTATTCCAGGTTGTTTGTTCCAAATGGGTTTTGTGTATTTTATTGTGTATTCATTTATTTCTGCAGTCATTCATTTATTTATGTGGTTGTTGATTAAAGACATTTTATTACAGATGAACAAACCACATTAACTTTTGACCTTCAGCAGGTGGATACTTCAGCCAAACACCTCTGATATCTGTGATTTCAAATGTGCACATCATTTTCACATGAATAAAATATATTATATTAACACAGTAATTGCCAAATGTAAGAAAACTGAAAGACAAATCTGTGTAATATATATTTTATTTATGTGGAAAAAAAGTACATATTCCAGTGCAGAGTGAGAGGCTTAGTAAACTTACTGCCTCTGATTTTTAGGGTTATTTTAGTTTTTAAATTTTATATAGTAGCAGAAACTATATAATTTTGTCTTGAACCTATATTTGAATTTTTATCTTGTGTGCATGTTAAACCTTTGAAAATTAATGTTTTAAGCTTCTCTTTGTAATTTTTTTGGTCATGTATATTATTATATATAATTGTATTTATAATTATATATAATTATAATAATATTATGATACACAATACTTTAAAAGTCAGAGGTGTCGGGTCAGATTTTGCGGGAGTTTGTAATACGTCTTTACGTATTAACGGCACTTGTTTAGGTCTCAAATGCAAAACTAACATTATAGTGATCAAGATATGCTGACAGTAGTAGATCATTCACTCACATCCCCTGAAGTTCTTTTCAAGCACAACCAGTGTTACAAAATGTTCTTCGTCATGGTGCGCAGTTCCACATTTCCACCAGAGAGGTCTCCAAATCCCCAAATGTTACATCGTATAGCTTTCAGTTTAGCCTTCTAGATGCCTCTTTCATCCTGTACTAATAGACGCTCAAGTTCATTGAGGGCTGCTTGATCTCCTTTTCTAATTTTCATTGTTTGCATCGCAAATAGATCTGACCTCTGTGTAAAATTAGGGGTGACAAAACATGAGGCAACTCAGGTGCGATTTAGTTTTATATCTGCATTGAGCAAGTAAAGTTGCATGAATGTTTCACTGTGTAAAGTCAGCCTAACGTGTCCCTTGTCACGAAACACTACAATAATGTTCCTAAAGTTTTGGCACATGTAGATCAGGTTACTGCTTGCAGAGAATTGTATGAATGTTTGACAGCTAATTGTGTTCCAGTGTGAATTTCTTCTTGACAGAGGTGCTGAAAATCCTAATTCAGGGTAGTTTTTTATACACTGACAGGAAAGAAAGTCCAAAAGATTAAAAACAGGTAACTTATCTGACAGTAGGAGGCACTCTAAGACCAAACACTGCATAGTCTTAACAAAATCAAACAGAGTGCTGCTGGTAGGGAAATAAACATTCAGCACTGAAAGTGCTCTGTGGCCAGAGGTTTAAAATAATGAGGAAAAATGAAAAAAACCATGACTCTCTTCAGTGGCTTTTCACTGGATAACCTTACACTTAAATCAAGTTTTCAATTCTACTTTACTGTCTGTTAATGTACATGTTATAAAAACAATAACTGGCAGGCTAATTAATAAATAAAGCTGCTAATAATGACAGAATAAGAAGACAAATTAAATGGTGAATAATGATGTGCCAATGTAAAATAGGAAACTGACAGGAATGCTAGCCAGGTTTAATAAGCTACAGATAAAAAAGATAAAACATAATATTAAAAATAATAATAAGAACATTGAAATTAATAATGAATTACTAATACCTAATTAATATTGATTATTATTTATATTTTTAATTAAACCATGTAATTAATTCTTATTCATTTTGTTGTTTTGGGCAGCCTAAGCTGTGCATGCTTAATTTGGACAGTATCCCTATACACTGAAGTTATAAGCAGTCATCTTTACCAACCAGGCTGCATGAATATAAAGTGAGTCATTGTCAGTGCGCCGCTGCTGGACCGTTTAGTGCATGACTGACCCTTTGCGTCCAGTGGGCCCTCAGTGCCACCACACTGCGCTGCCTGGGAGGGCTTGCTCAATAATGCATGAGCGTCATTAGAAACCAGAGAGGGCCCGTTAGTTCACTGTTATTTCCTGGGAAATGCGAGTCAGGGCGAGGTGATGACAGCCCTGTGCTTGGTGCACCTCACGTTACACACAGCAATCTTTGGAGATTGAGTCGAGCACAGATGAGATGGCTGAGATAGAGTAGATGATTTCCCACTCGTTCATGCTTTGCTATCTCATAAGACATATTCGGCCTAGTTGAGGACAATAAGTTAGGACAGGTGAGAAGTGCTAAACGTTCTACCCTGTCATGCCCTACGAGTGGCTTTTAGCCCTGAGCAGAGGCGTCACCGGTGTCACTTCTACTTGACCCAGAAGTCAAAGCCTCATCTTTTATTTAAGTGGGGATTTGCGGCCTGCGCAACACTGGCACTGCCGATCCAGCGATACGGGTGGTTAATAACAGCTCAAACACACTGTGCCCCTATTCTCAAACAAGTGGGCTTTGAATCTCACTGCTCTATCTGATCACGGCTGTGTGCAGTGTTTTGTAAACAGGGGCCAGAACATTTGGGTCAGTTTAGCAATGTAGCTCGCAGTCAGCCAGAGGACAGCCACTGTGGTCATTTAAGCAGCCACTGGGCCTGTTTTTTAATAAGTAGTCTGTCTGTATGGCAGTAAATGAGTTTTATGTTTCTTGTGGGTTTAGTTACTAAGAGACGTCTCTGCGTTAAACTGACATTTTACTTGTGCATAAATCATGAATGGCTTCAGCTCTAAATCTTCTAATGGTTTAATATGTAAGCGTCTGTGTTCTTTAAGTCTTTGAGTTTAGTGAGATGTCACAGTCAGGTTCAGACATGCCCTGGTCAACATGCTGCACTGGTCAGAAACTAATGAGTGGCTAAGGAGAATTCCAATGATTTTTCGAAATGTCTGCATCATTAAATTGTTAAGTTGTAAACAAAGTCATTCAGAGTGGTTTGGTGTGAAACACTCCAATTCTAGAGACACTTAATCAGTCAGAATTGTTGTCAGAATAGGAACCAGACATCTGAAGAGTTTAATGTTCTTCAAAACTAGCTACCAATTATGTAAAGTGCATACGATTACACTGTCTAGTGCCTGAGACATTATATTATTGGCGTAGAGGTACATGCAGGGTATTGTAAGGCAAAATAGTGCCAGAGAAAACTGACCTCTAGTTAACCAGCATCAATGTTACATGTAACAACTCAGAAGACACATAGGTTCGTTATAGATAGTAAATAAAATGGTTATATGTGTGTTGTCCCCTGGTTCCTACGAACACCTCTGTGAAGAAAATTTGCATTGGTTTACAAGTTTTGCAATACGCTTTTGGCTTAAACCACATTATCATAACCACATTCATGGTGGAGAGGTATATGGAGGATGTTACAAGGCAAATGACTTCCAAATAAAACCTGTTTATTCCACCATCAACATTACATATAAAAACTCAGAGGATATGTGGAGGTTCACTGGTCATCCTGGATAGTTAATTCAATGGCTATATTTGTGTTGTAGACATTGCAACACCAGGTTCCTATGTAGTTCTCTACAATGAACCATTTCACAGTAAGCCACTCTGAATGCTGTTGTCTGTTACAATTATCTCAGTGATTGAATTATGCAGAAATTTAAAAAAATCAGTGGAATTCCCCTTTTAACCTTCACCAGTGAGCCTGATGTGGGTTTTCATTGGTTTAAAAAAAATTACAGGCATTTTGATCATGGTTGGTAGTAAAAAAAAAAAACATATTCTGACACACACATTCTCATTGGGGTCTATCCCAGCGGTCATTGGGCGGAAGGCAGAAAACACCCTTGATGGGTCGCCAGTCAATCGCAGGGCAAACATATATTGAAAATATATTAAATTTCATTTGTAATTTGTCATATGCTGGCAAGAAATAATAATCTCATTTTCATAGAGCATGCCTTCAAAATGAGTTTACCCTGGAATAATGTATGGATGGGCAATGAGAAGACTTCATTTGTGTTTCCTTTTCCATTGAAGTGACCACTGTAGATGTTTCTATTCTTCTTTCCCGGTCAGTGTTGTCCATGTTAGCATTACTGGGATTAAGGTTTTCACTAAAGTTGCAGGTATATTCATTAGAAATGTTCATTGCAATGTAGGAAGTATATGTTTAGAAGTGATGGAGAGCAGAATGAGGTTCTTAAAGTGCAGAATTGTTCTCACTTTTTTTTCTTTTCTCGTGAGTGTGTGTAGATTCAAGTAAGAACAAATCCTGAATAAGAAAACACTGGTGAATTACAGAATCTTTGTGAAAAATGCATCAGTGCGTTTTAAGAAATTTCTTAAGAACGGTTGGTGAACGAGGCCCAGTGTTACAGGTTGGTGAATGTTCATGTGTCTGTGATAACTGTCTAGAGTGGACATTTAAGGTATGTTTCATATACTTTATGTTTATATGGATAAATTCAAAATTTCATATATATTTTTTCTTCAGGTTAACTGCTTTATATAACACTGCACAGTTGTTACAGGTTCATAATAACATTTAGGTTCAGTGTGTTGGTGATTATTTGTTCTTATTTTTTCAGATTCCCTCACAGTGGTGCTCTGTGCACAGTACAGGCTGTTGGAAATCCAGGCTAAAGGAGAAAAAACTTTGGTCCTTTCAATGTTTTTTTTTATTGTAATGCACTTCAGTACAGTAGTGATGTACTTCATCACTGAGCTGTTGATTAAAGCTGACCCTTTTCTGCTTTTCTCCGTTGAAATCTCTCTGCTGCTCTGATGTTTCTTGTCTCTCATCTCCTCTTTTAGTGTGTCCCCTGTGTTTACTTAGAGACCAACGGGATAGCTCAGTTAATGACCAGCTTCTCTGCCATAACTCAGCTCTTAGACACACTGACTCAGCTGTTAGACACTCTACATTTACACACATAAAATAAACCAACTTATTTTCACAATGCCAGCTTCATAGTGAAACAGGGCTCAAAGTGTGTGTCCTTTATACGCATATTTAAGACAAACTTAAGCACTTGTGTGGTTTCACCTCAGCCATTAACCAGAGTGAATCAGTCGTCATATATGGATGATTCTACAGAATTCGAGTCAGACTTGAAAAACACGTCTAAAAAGCTTAACTGATTGGACTTTAGACTAAATCTTTTAGCTTTGAGTGACCACTTTCATTATGGTTATTAAAATAAATTACTGAACATTCCATGTTGTCACTACTAAAACAATACAAAACAACACTGAAACTCTATCACGTTTCAGTAATGACTGATTCAGTAGTCGCAATTTAGTCAAGATTTGACTCTCTTTAACATTAAAAAATCTCTGTGGTATTAAAAAACTTCTTTTGGCATGTTAAACATAGTGACTTCCACAGAGCCAACAGGATGTTTCCAGCAAAAAGAGCCTACCTACATTTCTGACTGACCAATAGTGGCTGAGTGGTTCCTGACTGTAGATAACCAGAGAAAAAAAGTTTTTAAATGGGAAAATACAACTTCATTATAAGAAATAACAGTAAATTATCAATTATGTTACATTATATGATGATAATGATGTGGCCACTCAGAAAGTGGCTGTCTCGATTTACCAAAAAGGAAGCAGTTCCCCTTTTGATGAAAGAGGCATTGTGGCTAAGCTGACTAACTACTAAGCTCAACAATAAGCCTGGTTTGTGTGGTGCAACCAGTTTTAATTTAGGGATGTCTAAAGCTGAACTTAGTAAACACTTACATTATAACAGACCTCAGTTTGAACTTGCGTACAGCTGGTGCAACTGGGCCCTGGACTCACTGAGCCTTTAGCATTAGCTAGAAAACAGTTGCTAAGTTAGCTTGCTTGACCGATGATAGTGCTAGGTAAGAGCAGCATGCCTTTAGGCCAGCCACGATACAGAAGTTTTCTTTTGCACTGTATTTTTTTTCATGGTATTAGAAAAAAAATTAAACATTGGCAGCTCATGAGGCTGAAAAGGCATAGCATAGTATTCACTGCATACTACAAACACTGAAAATATACAGAATAGGCTGTTTAAGACAATATCAATTAATGATAAAAAGCCCTTTGTCCAGACGAGGATGAGGCTGTGAAGACTACTGTACATGTTGAGTATAAGTTTCTGATTGTACCTTCAATACTGGTCTTAAGTGCATTTTTTTCACAGTAACAAAACAGCAAGAACAGACAGAGACATCTCAGTCAGTCTTACTCAGTCTGTCTCTATCATTACACACACACACACACACACACACACACACACACACACACGCCAGGCCCACTCAGCACAGTATCTAGTGGCACAACATGCTTTCAATTATTCATCAACTTCTCATAGGCTGAAAAGAGGGAAAGATTCCTTTACCCGTCTATTATTCACAATGGAGTACTATGAGCTGATGTGTAATGCCCATCACAATAACACGCACATGTACTTGCACACATACATGCAGGACCATGGTCAGCAGAGGCAATCTTGGAATCATCACTTATATCCTAATGCACAAAGAAAACGAGTACAGCCTCAGTAATGTACTTTTAGACATTTTAATCATAAATAAGGATATAGAAAAAATCTAGAAAACGATAAAGAAAATGATTACAGAAAATTATAAAAATGGGCCGTATCAGTGGACTGTATCATTTCATATCAACGTCGTTACAGAGCTGTGCTAGCTTGTAGTTTTAGGGTTGTAATAATAATAATAATATCATATCATAATGGCAGATAATTGCTTTAAACAAATGATTGGCATTGGACTGGAGTTTAGTTTTGACTGATATTGCAAACCAATATTTGAGGATGTTTTTATTGTACTCCAGAAGAACAGAATGCTAAAACGTCTGTATTTTATTCATTTTACTGCATTCGTAACACTACAAAATCTCTGTAATGCTAACCCAGGTAGATGTAGTCCCAATTTCTACATTTTATATGTACCAGCATCGGCAGGAATGTACATTAAAAACACTGAATATCAGTATCGGTACACAATTCTCATATTGGAGCATCTCTACTATAGTTTCTATTTTCAAGGTACAACATTTTGTTATGAGAGTAACAATATACTTTGTAAAATATCTTTATTTTCCGCAGATGGAAGATTCTTATATCTTATCTTTTAGAGCAGCAGAATTTAAATATGACTTGACCACTGTTACTGATATCTCTAATACAGGAACAAACAGGCTAAGAGGCCACTGTGCTCTGAAAGAACGCTGGCTTGCTGAACTCTGCCCTAGTATTGGGTGTTACCCAAGCACTCAGTGGCATAATCTTGTTTATTATCCAACTTCATGGAATAACAATTGGAACGTCACCCTTTGGCACTGACTGGCACAACTGATTGATGCCATTCAGTAACATTCATTCATAAACAGCAACATGATACAGGCTTAAGAAAACAATAGGCATCAGTCAGACCCTGAGCAGATAATAAAGAAGCTCAAGTACAATTAAATTGGCTTAAGAGTAAATGATCAGAGGAGAGACAGAGAAAGAGAAGAGGGGAGGAGGGGTTTGTTGAGAGCTTTTAATTGCTTGTCTGGATAATCTTCATGAAACAAAAGAGCTAATGTCTCATCCTCGGTGGATGTTCTTACGACCTGAGTTGGGTTTCTTTTGACTTTGGAGTGAGTTTATTTAGTTATGTCACCTACACTCAAAATTCCAACAGGCAATAAAACTGACCCTGATCACCTAAGAGAGAGACTTTTGATGCAGTGTAAATTTGGAGCATACAGTAAGAAAATACTATTGAGAAAATCCTGTTATCCTTGATCTGACAGTCTGACTAATCACACTCAACAAGCTCAAAAAGTAGAATCAGCTCATCATGGGTCTGACAGACAGCTGATCAGCTGATGAGCTGATTCACGTGCAATCCATACTCTCTTACAAATAAAGGTTCTTATGTGGTTCTTGGTTTGGATGTACAGTTCTGGAAAAAATGGCTTAGAACCATTTACAATATGCAGAAGGTTCTTTAAAGTTTTTAAAGCAGAGGCTCACAAACCATTCCTCAGAACCCCCTCAGACAGTCCACATTTTTGATCCCAACTTCCAACACATACAGACAGAGCTAAAGTGAGGACCACTTAGAAGGCCCTAAGAACCAGTTTCAAAACTTAGGGTTGCACAGACCTGGGAATTGTTGGCTGATGACATTTTTCACGTATATACCTGCTGATGCTGATGCTAATACATTTCTAAAATATAGTTGGGACTAGATCCACATGAGCTAACATTACAGAAAAATATAACACTTATTTCTGTAGGGTTACAGTAAAATAGGGTTACAGTAAAATAAATAAAACACAGATATTGTGAAATATTAACCCAGCATCAAATAAACATACTCCTAGAGTACAAAAGTACTTTTAATTTTGGGGGGGCCAAAAAACTTATGTCCTGAAAAATGCATATTGATACATTTGTCACCAGAATTTAATCTGTGAATTAACATGGAGGTCACTTGATTTTTAGTCTCTCTCTCTGTCTTCCCCTCTCCCTCTATCCCTCTGTCAACCAAAGTCCATTCGGAGTATTTCTGTTTTCTTGTCAGTCTTGCTGTGGAATGTGGAGGGCAGCATGGGCAGGTTTAAGTCTGTGTCTCTGTGCTGGATGAACGTCCGCAACTGCACAGAGTTCCTTTTCACTGTGTTTCCCGGGACACTAATCGCTGCTCCTCCTGCGTTCCTCTTTTCTTTTGCATGCCTCAGGGTCTTGATGACCAGAGCCTGCTGCCTTTGGGATGGAAACACGGGTGGCTTCGAACCATTGATCAGAAAGGGGGAGGAGCCTGTGCTTGTCCCAGCTTGATGTTTAAGCCCCACCCAAGTCACTTTCCTTGGCGACACAGTTCCATGACGTAGTCGTGGTAACGGAGAGGTTTGTGCTGTGGTTTCTGCGACGCTTAGGTGACGGGCAGGGTGGGTCTTTTCCTCTATGGCCAACAGGAGGTCCTTAAACCGCTGACCTGCTCTACTCTCCAAGTGTGTTCTGGGTGACACGCCTTTTTCTGAGTAGAACGTCTGTAACTTCTCCAGCTTGTCGTCATGGTGATGTGTTAGTTCTTCCTCTGAATAGTTTTCAGAGTGTGTGGCTCTCAATTCATGAGGTTTTGGTGGTGGTTTGGTGGACTGGGAGTCCTTTTTATTTTCCATAGTTACTGGAACATCACAGGGGGTGGAGTCACACAGCTTTGAGCCACTCCCTTCCCCGCAAGAGCATTTTGGGGGCGAAGCATGGACAAGCTCCCTTTCACCAAACACAGAGACTGAAACCCACACAAAGACATAAACAGTAAATGATGAATAAACACATATACTGATAAAAGAATAATAAGACTGAAATAAGGTTAAGATGCGTAACTCCTACTCCTATTTTAAACTGTTTTGTGTCTGCATTGTATTCTGGTTGTTGTACATTTTATTACTGTAAAATTTGTACAGTGACCTTTACAAAGTTTACAGTGATAAAAGGGTCTATGAAACAGTGAAGACATCTAAACTGTAAAAAAATTAAGGAGGTATGTAGTAAAAAAGCTCTTCTCTTTTAGATTCTTTAAAGTAGCCCCCTTCGCATTGAAAATCAAAGAGATTAGTTATACTACCTTCAGGAAACAGCCCGTCTTTTGTGTCTGTGGTGATTGCAAAGCCATCATCATTTAACGTGTCTGCTCGTGGAGTGGATGGGGAAGATGCTCGGTGCTCTGAGCTCGGCTGCTTTTGTCTGATGGCCTCCTCTGGTCTCCTTCTGCCACTGAGGGAATCTCTATCTTGTGACTGGATCTGGTGAGTTTTACTAGACTGTCTCTGGCTGTCACTGGTAGTTTCGCCCTGTGGGACAAAGGAATATTTATGCATATAAATCCAAGATGCAATAAAATTAGCCCTCTTCATCCGGAGGAGGTTCTTACTTTTGATGGTTTGGTTTCTCTTTCACATATAACTATGGCTTGCATGCTTTCATGGTGAACTTGAATTGTTATGTCACTGTAACAAGGCTGAAATTCCCAAAATGCAATAAAATTGACTCAGACTCATTCAGGGAAGACACTTAGATTTTTGTTGTCTCTCAAGTGACAGTTGTCTGCTAAACGCTCCTGATTATCAAAGCAATCTATCTAAACTCAATTCAACTCATCAGGATTTGGCTTCCTAAATTTTGCAACTAATTTAAAAACCATTCTTTCTAGCAGTGTTGCATAAAAAACTCCATGTGGGTGAAGATCTGGAAACTATGCACCGTTAAGTTCTTAGTGCAATGATTTGGCCACAGAGTTACATGATTTTCTTCTGCGATGTCATGCAGTATCTCATATCACATCAGCAAGTCTGTTTGAGATTACTCTGTGGTTTGAAGAACTTGTGCGATAATTCAAGCATACATTTATGCCAACCTGGTGGCTCACATTATTAGTTAGCAATAGCTCCTATACAAAACTAAAAAAGCAAACTTAGAATGCCAAACATGTCTTAGATGATCAGCTACATTTGGTGTAAGATTTGTACATTTAATTTTTGGCCAAACCATTGCTTTTAACATCCACTGCTAGATTACCTGTTGCTGAGTCTTTGCTGGGGTGTTGTTCCTCTCTTTCCACACAGGCTTATTTTGGTTCCACTCACTGGTTTCCACTCTCTGGAATAATCATAATGGATCATACTTCATCCATATGTACATGCATTTGCTGGTGTTAGTAATAAGTTTGTTTTTGTGTTTGGGTATATTACCTTCATGGCCTTGGCTCCTTTCTGGTGCCTGATCAGTTTTTTCAGCAGTAGTTGGTAGGTAGCTAAGATGGCAGAGGGTTTGTTGTTGATCACAGTGTGGATGACGTCTGAGAGACCAAAGCCAAGAGACTCAGTCATGTAGTTTAGTACTGATGAGTTGAGATCTTCAGGACGCAACCTAAGCAAACGCATACATGTGCTATGATATTTTGCTGTGTGTATAATGACGCTTTAAAGCTGGATTACCTCTTTATAATACAGACCTGTTCTTATAAACCACAGTGTGTAGTGGTCTCTTGGCATAGCCCTCACTGAGCCATTTCTCCTCCATAGCTGCTTTCACTGTTGGCCTTTTCACTGGGTCTGGCTCCAACAGGGACAAAACAAACTGTATGGCCCCTACATAAAAAAGGACAGATTTACAACATTTCATTTTTCAGTGAATTTCATGGCAGAGAAGTGATATGGTCTATATTTGCATAGCCAATGAGTGAAGATACAAGGTAGGTGTACCTAATAAACTGGAAACTCATTGTATACTCTCTCTGTTTCTCTCATTTGACCTCTGTCTCTTTTTTGTCTCTCTCTAAGGTCTACTGGCTTTAGCTCTCTTGCATCATGGCAGATCAGATTAAAGTGGCGCTATCCTCTCTCTTGCTACCCTCACCAGCCCAGGGATGACCCAAGATCAGTGTGTCAGCTTGGCACTGCACATGCTGTCTCTGTTGTATGTGTGCGTGTGTGCGTGTGTGGCCGGGTGAAGGTGCTGTTAGTGTCGCTGGACAGTGACGATCACATTTACTCATTCACTTAGGGTGCTACACACCCTCTGGGTGCAAACAAGTTTAAGGCCTTTAAAGACGCACATTGTAACTTTTTACATACATTTAAATGTAGGAACAATTAATATCCAAATAAAAAAGAGTGCCCTCTTTTTCAACATATTACACTCATTAAGGCTTTAACCCAAAGGCCTGCTATGTGTTCATTTGTTCCTGCTGATTTGTAGCACTGCCATAAATATTTCATGATCTTCAGTGCTGTTCTGGAAAGAGGTTCCTCATGGGCCGTTACGTAAACAGCGGGGTGTGTGAGGGTGTGTCTGAGTGATTGTGATTGCTAAATCTCCACTGTGGCCTAATCAATATTTAATGTGTTGTATCAAATGATCAGATAATCACAGTGAAGAAGAACAGCTTGTACTGTCTTATCTCAGCCAGTACCTCTCACCACTCTGTCTCTCTCTCCGTTTGTATTTAAAAGTCTGTTTTTTTGCCTGGGTACACAAACTTAAATGAGTGTATAACATCTGTCATTTTTATGAGGATGAGATATTTTAATACTGCAGTTACAAGCAACCATGAATTATGTCTGGGAGCAAGTTAGTAAATCCAGACTAATACTATATATTACACCTGTTCCACTTTACAAGGCCATTCATTTCTATATCTATATTTGAAGATCATTTCTGCTGTATGGAACATCAGAGTATCCTCATGTGTCTAATTGAAGTACTTATAGTTGTGTGGAACAGCATTTACCTTTACTGATGTCAGATGGAATAGTGCTGATTTCTCCATTAACCATTTTTTGATAAAGCTGTTTTATGTTGAAGGGCTCCACTGTGAAGGGCAGTGTGCCGGTCAGCATGGCAAACATACTCACGCCCCTACACATACACACACAAACACAATTAATACAGGACATGATTATACTTTTACACCATATATTTTTTGTATTCCCAATAGCACCATTGCAAGACTAAGCTAAAATAAGCCACACACCTTACTTCTTAGTTCCAACATTTTATTACACAATCCTACCGTCTAGCTGGCATCATAGCTAGTAGGATTACTGCACTCGAAGTATGACTTGTATATAGCACTTTATATGTCTTTTTGTAATATGAGCTTGAAGACTGATGTGAAATGTACTGTTGTTTTGTCATCATGAGACCTGTCAAACTGACCTGTGAAAAATGTTTAGCGTAGCACAACGGTGTAATGCTTAAAAAAAAAAACTTTGACTGGCACACAGTCATATCAAGTTTGATTATCCAGCGGGGTCAGCTGCTCTCTACCCCCTTCCTGTCAGTGTCCTCCTCATCTGAAGTCATGTTTATTTTAACTGTAAGGGACTCATACACGCCCAGTAACTTTCTAGGTAACGTTATTTCTGCAGCATGTGCACTCACTGCCATGATCTGCTCATTACAATTATGGGTTTGGCTGCAATAATAATAATGAATACAGTACTGTGAAAAGTCATGTTTAACTATCTGAGACACATTGACAATATAACCTAACATTACTTTGCCAACTTAAATACCTGGTGAACACGCAAGCTAGCTTGCAAATTACAATATGTTAGGCTAACGTCTACATCCACTTCAGCACGTTTACCTTTGCAAAGTAGTTAAAAGCACTGTCCTTCCTTATGGAACCAGCCAGACAGAGTGAAAAGGGCGAACGAAAACATTTTGTGTTGCTATTGATTTGTAGTCTCTTTAAATGATTGACATTATGCATTTGTCATCCCAGGGGAATGAACCCAGCGCTATGATTGGTTGAACTCTTCTTTTCCTTTAGTTTTTCGGAAAGATGGATGCTGCTGCCACTTGCTGTTAGATTTGAGTACTGGACATGCACAACTGAACTGGCGACTGTGTCACCAGCTTTTTGCATGGTTTAGAGAACTGTATCAGCGTACTTTGATGTCAAAATGCACACCTGCTACTCAAAATGAGTAAAGGTTGGCAGGTCTGAAGCATACAGCATACAGAGTTATCAAATCATCAAAACTGGAATAAACTAGGATTTCTCTTTTTCTGCATGTTTACTTTGCTTTCAGACAAAAATGTGCAAATACTATCAGCAGGCAAATTTAATTTTTACACGATTCTTACTGATCTCATCCACTGCCCTCATCAAACACACTTGATGTGTACTCACACAGACCATACATCCACTTTAGGGCCGTACTTTCTGTGGGCCAGCAGCTCAGGGGCAGCGTATGCTGGGCTTCCACACTGAGTGTTCAGCAGCTCCGGGGAGAGAGAATCCACCTTCAGAGTGTTACTCAGACCAAAATCTATTAGAAACACACAAATACAGGTTTCTGTTTTATTAATGAAAGGCCTGTGGAGAGGCATTTGTCTCAGGGCCCAACAAAAAAAAGAACAGAAAACAGAGTAAAGTGCACTCTGCTAGGTATTACTGCTGCTGCACCACAGTAAAATATTACTAGCTACAAACAGAATATATATATTTTGTGTCTATGTGTGTGTGTAAATATACACGTGCCCACGCACACACACATACATATGGAGATATAAATGACTGATGTTATTTGCCAATAAAGGGGAAAATGTCATGTAATTATTGTTATGTCCTAAATTATGCCTGCAACTGAGTACCCTAACACTTTTTTCACATATGTTAATTTAGTCAAATAGATAACCAACACCTCCATTTCAAACAACAAAGATTTCAGACACTATTTTGATTAGGACACTATATAAAATAAGCTCTTCAGTACTGTTGTTCATATCGTTTTAGGTCTCTCTGCATAGCTTTTATAGCTGTTTAGACATTTTTGTCAGTCTAGTGGATCATCTGAGGTAAACTAAGTCTGTTCTTGAAATAACTAAAACTGGAAAACTGCCACTGTTCTGCCTGCTGTGTGGGTATCGTAACCTGTTTTTCACACTTGACAGTTGACAGAAGCTAGTTTACTAATCAATCTCTTCGTTGTTAAAGATGTGTGGAATATACAGGTGGAACATTATTGACAATATAATACTGCCATGTCTGGATTATGATTTATATGGAAATGTGTGTGGGCTTGTATTGGTCTGTAACTCCTATAATTGCTGGAACATATGGTCAAAATTCAGGCCCAATTAGTGTAGATTCTACAAAAAAGGTTCCAAAACCCTCAAACAGCAACTATCATAGGCCTCTAATCACAACAAAAAACACTTACCAACAATCTTAATGTTGTTGTGTTCATCCAGAAGGAAGTTCTCAATCTTCAGGTCCCTGCATTGAAAAGAGCAAAGCATAGTTAAAATGCTTTAGGGTTATATATATTAGGGGAGTGTACATATTTTTATTTTTTTTTTAAATTAATGAACAACATTCCTTTCTCTCTCTTTCTCTTATGTGTCACACAAAAATAGAAAAGAAACCTAAAAGTAACTTAAAAAAGTATCAACAATGCCTTACTTTACCATAGAGAGAGTAGAGCCTAATACAACCAAAAAACCTAACCTTAAGGTTTGGTCTTTTGTGAATGTGTCTGTGTACATGTGTATAAGAATGAGTTTACATAGGTTAGCAAACTTGGCTACGGCTTTATCAGTGTCAAATCGACCTGCCTGTGGTTTGCCCTCAACATACACCACTGTTACTATGGAGGCAATATGTGTACTGACCTGTCCTGCAGTGCAACTGGAACTTTTCCTCCATATTGATGGATCTACAGCCAATAATGTGGTGAGTGTGTGTGTGCATGTGTGTGTGCATGCTTTGAACTAAGGAGTCTTCTTATAGAACTGAGGACTCTGTCAGTCTCATTAAAGAGAGAGTGTGTATCTGATTTTTGCATTATATGGCTTCATCGTGGGACTCCATTAGTGCAGTAGTGTGTGAATGATGTGTTAACCATAGCAGCACATAGTGATGAGGTCATCGAGAAGCTCAGAGTATTCCGACTCTGGCGCCCTGCGGAGCCTTCTGCAAAAGCCAACAGCCTCATGCCCACACACACACTGCAAGCACAGCTCACACACAGCTTTATTCCTAAAACACACATTCACTTTCATCACACAGCACCTCAGTCTCATTTCTGCAGTTAAACACCTCAACAGCACCCCAACTCTATTTAACAAACATGCGTTTTCTTTATTTTTACTTCCTCATAATGTGAACATTTTCACTCAAATGTTTTTTTCTTTTTCTTTCATTCTTTTTCTATCATTCTCTGCTCTTTTGTATACACTTGGTTGATGTTTGGTTTTACCAGCTGTTCACCCCATCCATGGAAAGGGACTACCACATGACTACTGTTGACCGGATGTTATATGGGAAGTGATCCATTCTAGCAGTGACACTAGTCTCAGAAGCTTCTGCCTGCATTCAGAGAGTCTGGTGCATTTTGCCGTTTAATATGGCCAAGAACTGCCTACTTTGATAGAGAAGGCCACAGACCTCTGTTTCAGTGTGACCTGCATGAGTGTTTTTCAAAACGGGGCTGCAACCAAAACAATTGGTTGGCATGTTCTCAAGGATATATCACTTAAAAGCTACTAAATGCTTAGAAGAAAACTCTTGAAAACTTTTAAAGATGCAGTGTATCGCAAAAACTTATTTTTAAATCCAGCAACTATCAAGCTCTGAAAGGTTCATTCATGACGCATAAAGCATGTGAAACCCCCCACCAGACTGTAAGTGTATGTGGTGCAGGTACAAGTGTTATCAGGCACAGTGGTGGTGCTGGGGTTTTTACACACATCAGTGCTAAAGTCAGAATCTGCCAACCAAAAATATCCAGCTCATGGTGGCCCTGTGGTCAGAAACACACCACTGATGATAGGGTAGACGGTGATTAACACAAACTGTGCATGAAACAGACACACCCTGGTCTCTAAGTGTACACCAGCAAGGTGTACCAACAAGGTCCCTTTACACAGCACAGCTGATAAATTGTACAGTAACATATAGGCTACAGTCAGTAATTACAAACCTACAAAGTGTACCTATACAGTAGATGCATCTGATAAAATGGTGAATGCATGTAGCTACAAGGCAGACATACCTGACAACACCCATCTTTACCTTTTTCATTTATCTACCGTATGTGTATGTGTGTGCATGTTGTTCAGTGTGTATGATCAAGCTTATGTGTGTATGCACTCCACTTCCATCACTACCTGTGCACTATGCCGTGTGTATGTAGATGGTCCACAGCAGACAGTATCTGGCGTGTGTATCTGCGGACCTCTCTCTCCTCCAGACGTTTGCGTTCGCAGATTCTATCCATCAGATCCCCCCCAGAGCACAGCTCCATGGCCATGTAATAACAGTTCTCAGTCTCCAGTGTCTCCAGCAGCAGGACAATGTTGGGGTGACGGATCATCTGGTGGATTCTCGGCTCACGCTTCATATTCTTCAACACGTATGAGTCCTGCCGTGCTTTCTTCTTGTCGATGACTTTAATCGCTACCTGATGCACAGAGAGACAATAAAATGAAAATCTGTCCAACCAACCAGGCAAACACTGCCGATCAAAAGTTTCAAGTAATTCCAAGTCCATTCCAAGTAATGTTTCATTTTCACTGTTATTATCCAATAAATGTCCAATAAATACCCTGCTTTGCATTCATTAAAGTGTCTTCCATGGTATGAAGAGTATCTTTTATATAAATAAAGCTTTGACAGTTTTGTTTTTCATAATATTGTTCAAAAGCACATATTGAAGCTCATTTGACCTAAAAGTGGCTGGAGTGATGATGAGTGCTGACATCACCACAAGAGGATGCATTGGCTTTGGTCCTTTACAGGTATTGAAAACTAAGAAAGAAAACATGCATATTTGCATCAAAAAACATTGTAAAAAGGTAGTCATACTCAAACTTTTGACCTGTAAGGCCATATAGTTCTGATTTAGGCTCTTTATTGCAGAAAAGCTTCCTGTAAGTCCAAGCAGTTTAGCTTAAAGGGACTGTCTGGAGCATGGGACAACAGTGTGGGAATACACAGCCCTGTACTCAGAGGCTCTGAGAACCATCTGATCCTTTCCAGCCTTAGAATTAAACTGCTATGAATCAGCATTTTTGCTGTACATTTGTGTTGCTATAGATATGCAAAATTAATGATGGGTATTAGGCAGTTAAGGGGTGGGGGTAGAAGCCCATAGACTAAAGAGGAAAGTGATGCATGCTCTTCAATCAAACTCTTGGTCATCGCTATAGCAACTTGGGCAGGTAAACAAAGTGGTCAGAGAGGACTCAATGACCCATGCTAGAGGTGGACTGACATGCACACACATGTTCCCACAAGGATATACTGAGTGGATTCAGTGACCCATGAAACGGCTGATTACCAAGGTGAGGTAAAGGGGCATGAGGAGAAACACATACAGGACATAGCATCCATATTCTTCTAGACACGGACACAACATGCAATGTCATGAATGAGAGATGTTGTTAACTTACAGTTCTATTTTCACTGTACAGTTCTTTTAGTTATTTTGGGATACAAACATTCACAGAATTTTCACTTTCCAACATTTTCTGTTATGAACTTATTTCAGACTATGCCCAAACTCGGTCATATAAAAAACTCGGAAAGTAATTTAAACCGCTGTCTAATCTCCGCCAAGGCAATTTACCCCAACTCACACATCATCCAAAATCCACTTTAGACCACAGAAGTCTAGACTGACCACAAACTACAGTGACCCAGTGCCACCCAAGAGAACCATTACTCAGTCATCCAGTCCTCCAGCTGACCAGAAATCATCTTTACTGTGACAATTTACTTTGCCTCAAACACACAATGTTGAACTAGACCGGCAAAAAATATCAATATGCTACATTTATGCAAGGTTTACCCTCTTGAACTCTAACTTCTTCATTCATAAATACAGACTTTACATATTCATTTCATAGTAGTTACTGAAGATTATATCTAAAAAGTAATAAGGGAAAAAAATAGAAAAAAATTGCATTTGGATTTATTATCATTTAACTGATTTATTTTTTACTTATCAGTAAAAGTAGAGAATCAACATCAGAAGAATCTGATCAATGTCTTTCTCAGAATGAGTCTAGTCTTGCTTTATTAATGCTTTATGTATCAGCCGTGAGGGTAGACAGAGTGAGCCTCACCGTAAACTGAGAGACACACACAGCATAAAATATGGATGACAGTCCTTCAATACAGCGATGAGTGGCACCTCTCAGTGTTTGACGCTACTACTCTGATTGACAGGGATATGTGTGTGTGTGTGTGTGTGTGTGTGTGTGTGTGTGTGTGTGCGTGTGTGCGTGTGTGTGTGTATTTTACTGTTTTACTGTTACTTTTGCCTGAATCTGCTGATACTTGTATTCCGCACTACTGTTAAAATGATGCTCTATTTTTAACACTGTATTTTTGTCCTTTGTACTTACGCACTAAAAATGATGTATTGAATATAATCCAATTCAAATTCAAATATGTACATCATCTTTCTACATGAATAAAATGAATCAGATCAACAGAATTTGGTATTTCAGTTATTTCATTATGCACACATTTAAATCAGGTAAATTCAAAGCAGCACTTTTTCAGTGAGACCTATTATTATAAAACTCAGGGAGTCATAAACTGAATCTGGTTGCACTGACAATAAAATGTAGAATGACAAAAAATGTACTCTCTTCTGTTTTTGTGTGTGCATCTTCTCACCTTCTCCCCCGTGCTAATATGCATTCCTTCCATCACCTTGGCAAATGAACCTTTGTTGATCATCTTGCCCACCAGGTAGCTACCCACACGTTTAGTGTGTGGGAAGTTTCTGACCAGTTCTCTGGGCACCTTCCCTAAGCAAGGGGGTACAGACCGTTCCAGCTCCCCTGAGTCCGACATCACACCGTCCAGAGATGTCTTCACTGCAGCTGGCATGATGCCAAAGTCTCAAAACAGTGTGTTAGTTAACACCACGTTTTTTGTGCTATTGCTATTTTAACACATTTTGTGTCAGGCTGCAAGAACACAGCATACCTCTCACACAAACTGTGTCAATACAACACATCTTAACATACACTGGCTGTGTTAAAAGTAACATTAAATGCGTTGTAACTGTGTTGTTTTTAACACATCTGTTTTGAGAGTGCACCTGCACCCATCAGTTCCCAGCCTTTTAAGGTGGTGAAACAGATGGAAGAAAGGAGGAAAAGGAACAAGGCAAATGGGACTGACAGGCAAAAGGATGGATGGGTAAGCGTGGCCCAGTTTCCCTAGTTTGCCTTCTTTCATTCCTTCTCTGATGTTAAAAAATCCATTCCCTTGATCGATGTTGCGTCTTTTAGTTACGTTGTCCAAATTCTAGACGTAGTTCTTGTAGCTCCTCTCAGTATCTTTCAGTGACAAGTACCACATCTCCACATTTTTTCTTCTGTGTGTGCTCCTCTCACTCTCATTCTCTCTCTTTCGTCTTCTGGCTCCTCACTCTCTATTTTTTCTCCAGGGGAAGGTTCCACTGTCAGTCTGGTTGGATTATGCACCCCTCATGTGCTTGTGCGTGTGTGTGTGTTTGTGTGTGTGTGTGTCTGTGCGGTGGATAATTAACCGTATCTGGTCTCAGGTTAGTTCAGTCAGCTTAGAGTACAGACAGGACATACTACACCATAATAACCCCACACCAACACACACACACATACACACACACACACACACACAGGTTCACAATGACAATCCTGCTACAGACAGAGTGACATACAGTGCAATCACAATGTATCTTTTTCCTGTTTCTTTAGTAGCTTTGTTGATCATGTGTCTAATAACTATAAAAAAAGTTAATGTTTTAAATAAAAAGTAAAATCGCTGCCATACATTTTCAGTGCACTGAACTTCTAATCTTCAGTAAACAGAACAACAATTTGTGTGCTTTACATTCTGTAAAAAGTGCCACAGAATGCATTTATTCAGTATTTTGAATTGTTCTCTGATGTTTACACAGAAGGTATGCGACTTTGGTCAGGGTGAAAAATACCCAGACAGGGTTTTACACAGCAATTTTCAACCGTGATCTGCCCTCGAATGAAACAAGCTGTTTTTTCCCTTTTTTGGTGGGCTCATGAATAATTTGATGGGCTCTGCTCCAATTTGCTGGTTTAAAGAGAGGCACTTCGATGTCTCACACAGAAGCAAAATGTTAAAATAGAAACAGGCAGGAAACTAAAACGAACCTCTATGTAAATAATCTAGGTCTAAGCTAGGTACTATTTAGTTAAGCTTCAACCATCAAAAAGTGGATAAAATCAGACATTGTGGCTAGCTACTTACAAGCTGCAGCATTTAAAACATTCAGTTAAAAAGCTGGTAAATAGGAAGCCAGCTTCAGCCTTGTTTAAAGATAAACATTAGCCATGCCCATTGGGAAAGGTATGAAAAGTGCTAACATATCTTCACAGCCTGGATCAGTGCAATTTCTGCAAACTGTCTGCCATTTCCATTGCTTTCGCTCTGCTGTCATTGTTTCGCCAGGATAGGTTGCGGGCTGGTGTATGTACATTTGGGGCCATGAATATTAATGAGTCAATACTGTTAACTATGTAACAGTTTAGGATTGTGGAATTGGCCCGTATTACCACCATCTTTTACAAGTGCAGCATTTGTATTTGAAGGAGGAGACAACTGTGTTTGAGGTTCACGGTATGTTAGTTCCACATGCCGAATTCTCCTCAATTCAACTATGCTAATGCCAGTTTTCCATCCAATGGCATATTTAAATTATTAACTATTTGAAATGAAAATGTTAAAGTGACCATGTTACAAACTTAAAACACTGAATCATTTTAACTGTGGAGCGGTTCCATGTTCACAACAAATATCACATTTTTCCTTATTATACTGAATTTAGGTGTTGGACATGAATGGGTTAACTTCCAAGCCATTATTGCATTAGTGGATACACCCTTAAAAACAATGTCTCTTTAAGGTTTCCTTAGTAAAAGGAATAGTTTTATATAGAACCATTTCATGCTTAAATGGTTCTTTGCATGGTGAAAAAGTCTTCAGTTTTTGATGGAGTGATTTCAAACTAGTAGACACAAGCTAACAGCTTAAGGTTAATTTACCAAACCAATCTAAGACTCACTTGTTAACGTACTGCACCACTACATTTCAAACATCCAAACGAAAAATAACAACCTACTGACACTTAAAACACACCTCGGTATGTAACTACAGAAGATATCCTCAGATAGCCTGACTGGCTAAATTGACAATGATGGTAATGATGCTAAAATTTAATAAAACAATTTAAGTTGATTATTAGTTAATGTTACCTTTGGAGAGTTATAATGACACATCGTCATAAGTTTGCTAACATGTTCAAGGGCACTGACTGTGAGAATAGCAACTAAAAACTGTACTTTTCTTCAGCCATTTAAAATGAGCCATTTTCTCCAACCTGCACTGAGGTTTCCATTGAATTTTGAATTTGAGTGCACGCTACATCAGTGCAGCTACTGAGGGTCTGGATTAAGAACTCCTCATAGTAAGATGAACTTACTCAATTTTTAATAGTTTAATCATCATTATGATAAAGTCCTTCAGTCTTTATCTACTAGACGGGGGGTTGGAACATGCAACTTTTACTATCCTCTTGCAGCTCCACAGCGGAATTAGATTTTTAGGTAAAAATAAAATAATTCTCCTTTGTAGTAAAATAAAGATCTGCTGATCATTCAAACACAGTTTTAACAATAAATGGTCTTAAACGCTGGAATTAATATGTAACTGCTAATTCACCGAACTTTGACCCTAAGGGTTGGCGCAGCTGACTGCTGGTCTCCATAGCAACACAGAGAACAGTCTCGCCTAGCTAGTAGCTAATGAAAAGGCAAAGAGAGAGATTTAAGACGAACATCAATCATTTGGAGACGAATGGACTTATTTGCATTTATAAGCACTGGTTTCCTGATACGTTTAATCTGCAACGAGAAACTGTCAAACACTAAAAAGTCACGACATTGAAGTCAGCTTCTCGTTCTAATTTTTCTGTTCCACCTTAAATGGTGGCTGAGGCGCCAGAATGTAACTGCTGCACCAGAACAAGTGCTAGTGCACTAGAACAAGAAGATGTGAGAAGCGGCTATAATCTAAAGCGTAAAGCAGAACAAAGTAACTCTGTGTTTTGGTTTATATTATATTTTTATCCTATACTAGTGCATTAGCACATACTGAGACATATTTACAGCCGAAATGGTAAAATGGACATACAATGTCGTGGCTCCCAAAGTGGTTTGAACACGTCAGAGACAGCTGACACAGTCCTTTGCATTCTGATAAAAATGCTCCTCACCTCTCTTTCAACTTTCACCTTCCAATGATAGTCTTTTTTCCCTCTGTTGTCTCTCTCTTTTGCTCCTCTCTCTATCTCTCTCTCCCTCTCCCGCCCCCTATACTGCCCCCCCGCTTTCCCTTCTTTCTCTCTTACTACAGTTAAATTCCTCTTTTTCTTTTTTCTTTGTCTTTCAATCTCTCTTACACACTTCCCCCTTTTCTCATTCTCTGTCTCTCTGCTTTTCCTCCTGTCCCCTACTCTGGCTTCTCTTTTTCTCTTTCTCTTACTCTCTTTCCCTCTCTCTCTCTCTCTCTCTCTCTCTCTCTCTCTCTCTTAGCTGGATTACCCTTGCTTTGAAGTTGATCTCTCTAGATTTGATGAGCTGAATCTGTATGTTTTTTGATGGGAGATTGTGTCAGTGGTCAGAGGCACGGCTCACTACCTTTCACTGGGCAGTGCGGCCAACAACAGCAACACACACGCTTTCATCTCAGGTTCCAGTGATGCAAAACCAGTTCTAATGACAAAAAGCAAACACACCCCACTCTCCCTATCAAGATAAAAAATTAGGATGAAGAAGTAAAACAATAACACATAAAGAAAATATACATATGAATGTATAGACTATATTATTAATATCATAAAAGGGTCTGTATGTGGGTCCACACTTCAATTTCTCACTCTTATTACTACATAAGTTGCATATTAGTTTCTTTGTGGTTTCCAAATAATTTATACTTAATAAATAATAAGTCTTAAAAACTTGAGCCTGCAGTTTAGGCCTTAGACAAGCATGGAGCTTTTAAGTTCCATAGGCATCCACCATTGGTAACATAGTAAACGCCTTGAGTGAATTGAACCTTTGTGATTATGTTTTTGATGAGCTTGGTATTACATTCCAGCCTGTGGAAACTTGAAAAGGACACATTTTTGGTTAATAGGCAAATATAAAGAATTACTCCAGTGATTTTCAACTTTATCTCTATTAACTGCAGTGGTAGCATACCACTGATTACCACAGACAAGAATTTTGACATGTTTACCTTTACTTAAAGGGGAATTCCAACCTAAAACTATAGTTTCATATGTTATCTGTTGTGTTATGCAGTATACTGTTCAGCAGCATTATATCCCTAATCCTCACTGGTTTGACAGAATTTGTGATTTTATATATATATATTTGTTATAATTTTATAAAGTTCACAATACCCAGCATGAATTATGCAAATACATTACATAACATTACATACATGGGAATCCCTGCAGAGTCAACCAGCTCTGCTAGTCTAGCCTCTACCTCTAGGCTTAGTGGTAATGATAATACCAAGCTAGCGTTAGTGTAATTCACCTCATCTGCAAAAGAAAAGTAAACAATGATTCTATCTTTAAGCAGCACAAAATGAAAGTTGGAAGTTAGACAGAGATTTTTCAACCCTGTCAGTCGGAGGTAAGGTATTAGTCATATCTACCTTGCTAACTTTAGCTTTTAGTCATCTGATGAATGTTTCTCTCCAGTGTAATAATGATATGATGACAGTTGTATGGCTGCAAGAAGATATTTGGCTTCCCAATACCTCTGTCATCTGTCTGCTTTTGGCAGCAGTTTTTCAAAATTTCCTCCCACCCTCAAGACACTTCAAATCACTTATCATGCCTTTAAACCAAAAATTCTCATTCTAGAGATTACCAGTGTAAGAGATAAGTAGACATGTTTACAACAGCTGTAGTGATTATGATTTTTTTTTTTTCGGCCAGAGTGCCTTTTTAATAAAAGAACAGAAAACCTGTTTACTTGAAACATATTTCTAATAGCTGTTGAATTATCTGCCCACTGGCTTCTATTATAAATGTGTTTTGAGTCAGCTGGTTTTCTGTTCTGCATCATAATTATTGTCTGTGATAATTGGCCCCAATACTGCAGATGTTGCAGACAGAGATTAGGCTGAAGAAAAGCTGAAGTATTGCTTTAATGTTTGCCATTCTTATAGATACCCTTAAATGATAAAAGGTACAACTGTTGCATGTGGCACCAAAAATGTATGTATTATGACTGTGGTGAGATCATCCCATAAGACCAAGTCTCGTTTCAGACATGTTTTTGCCAATTTTGGCTCACTTGGCATACATAATGGGACAGTGGGGAGCAGGGTCTAATGTTAGTGCTTTACTTTTTGTTGTTGCTAGCTGTGTAGGT